TAGGGCACATATTTAGTACCTATATTTTAGTATGTCTTCAGATTTTTCTAAATATCTCAATATACAAAGTAGCTGCAATTTTGAAGAGAATCTTAATTTTAATAGGTGATAATAAAATAGGCAAATATTACGTAATCATAGTTGTAGTTGATGTTTTGTGAACTATTTAAATCTACAGAAGCAAGCTTTAAAAATAGTGTAGAATTAGCTGGGTGCTGATGGCTCACAGCAGTAAGCCTATTCACTAGGCTGGGATCCATAGGATAGTGGTTCAAGGCCAGCCAGGCCAAAAAAGTTCACAGGACTCCATCTTCAAAATAACTAACAAAAAGTTGGGCTGGATTAGTGGCTCAAATGGTAGGGCACCAACCAAGAAAACTTGAGGCCTTTAGTTCAAGCCTGGGTACTTGAAAAAAAAAAATACTGTAGAATGGGTTTTTTTTTTTGGGGGGGGGGGGTTGGTCATGGGGCCTGAACTCTGGGCCTGGGCGCTATCCTCAAGGCTAGCTCTCTACCGCTTGAGCCACAGTGCCACTTCTGGCTTTTTCTGCTTATGTGGTGGTTAGGATTCGAACCTAGGGCATACACTCTGCCACTAAGCCACCTTCCTGGCTCCAGAATGGCTATATTTTATGGTAGTTCTACCTTTAGTTTTTTAAGGACCCTCCATGCTGACTTCCCTAGTGGTTGAACTAGTGGGAAAGTTCTTTTCCTGCCTTCTCACATCCTTATCAACATTTATTCTTTGTGTTCTTGTCTCTGGCCATTTTGATTGGCGTGAAATGAAATCTCAGTGCAGTTTTATCTTGCATATCCTTTATTGCCAGAGATGAAAAGCATTTCTTCATGTATTTCTTAAACATCTGTCCTGCTTTTGAGAATTAAACATGGAGCAATGAAGTTTATTGAGATTGGCTGGCACAGGGGTAGATGTGGGAGAATGAGAGAGGGGTCAGTGATCAAGGTACATTGTACATATATATGGACATATGATAAGTCAAAGTAATCCTCCCTTGTCTATGTACTCATATGTACTAATAAAATGTAGGAAAACGGCATAGAATAATTTGTAGTTGTGCAATATAAATATATTGTCATAAGATCTCAGATTTACAGTTACAGCTATTTTGGGGGGCAGTAGTTTTTTTCATGTTCAAGAGAAAACATAATAATGCTTTTTTATTTTTTTCAAAGAAACTAGTGTCACTACCTAGCCTTTGGATGATTAACTACCCTAAGCTATTTCTTTCATCCATGCTGGTTTATAAAGGAAAGCAAAAATGACAATAAAAGAAATGTACCAATTTATTCTCTACTAATAAAGTATTGAACATTAGGAGAAAAGTATGAAATATTGGAATGCAACACAGAGCAATTCCATTACCCACTGTAGTTCTGGGTCATATACTGTATATAAAGAGTAATTACTACATTTGTTGGAGACCACAGTAGAGGAGTATAGATCTGATGAAAGGTTTTAAAGTAAAATTTATGCTTTGCTCCCCCAAATTTTAACATCACAGACATACCATCCCCTGGTGGCTAAAGATATAGGAGGGGCATCTGGGCTGGAACAGCAAGAAAGCTGAATAAAATTAAGGGTAATCTGACTTTAAAAGAATTTTAGCCAATAATCTTATACAGCAACACTTGGAATTTTATAGTGCTACTAAAATCCTTTGTACTTGGCTTAAATGACACATTCTAATAATGAAGGCCAATTTTTAATGCCTGTGCATCACATTGTTGACATTAAACAGTGTGTTCCGAGTCAGGGTCTTGTTGCTTATGCCTGTAATCCTAGTTGCAGGGGAGACTGAGATTTGAGGACCAAGGTTCAAAGTCAGTCTGGGGAGATAAATCTGAGACTCTTATCTCCACTTAGCCAGTAAAAATCCACAAGTGGAGTGGTGGCTCAATTGGTAGTGTGACAGCATTGAGTGAAAAAGCAGGAAGTCCTGAGTTGAAGCCCCAGTATCAGCATAAAAACAAAACAAACTGCCACCGTCAACAAGAAAAACAAAACCATACCTTTCAGTTTCCACCAATGAATCAAATTTTTAGATGTCATTTTCTTGCTGCTTGATGAGCTTCAAGACTAGATCATGCTGTCTACACATTTCTAAATACTGTATTTCCAGCTTTTTTTTTTTCTTCTTTATCTTGCTGTGCTTCTGGTGGAAGAACTGAAGCTGTCTTGGATAGGAGAGAGAAATAACAATATTGTGGATAGACTCTAAAGTGGATCAGTTACAAACTCAGTCAAATGTTTCTAGAGAAAAATAGTGAAGCAGTTGCCAATGAGCTATGTGAAAAGCACTTTACAGTGTGTGTGTGTGTGTGATGGTTAGCTTGCAGATGGATGGAGTGTTGAGGATGTATCTGCCCAGACTGGCTCTAAACCATGATCCTTTGTATTTACGTCCCCTGAGTACCTAGAATTACAAGTCTGAGTCACTGGCATCCTGTTAAATGTTTTGGTTTTATAATTAATTCCACTCAGTATGTTAATGATTTTGTTAAAAATTAAAAACAATTCACATCTGAAAATGCATGTTTACATCCATAATTTTGAATGTAATTATTAACTACACTAGAAATAACATCCCATCATTTGTGTTAATTTCTTATAAATTGCTTCCCACTTAGCCTTTTTAAAAAATCCAAGTGATTTGCACATTGTAATCCTGAGCTACATCCCAACTCCAGCTGTGGTTAGTTTATACCTTTGACATAGTTTTTAATGTAACCACTGCTATCAAAATATTTAAGTGCTCAAGATGCTTTCCTAGTATGAAGTTAGTAAAACACCTGTACTTTATGATTCATTTTTCTTAGGGTATTTTTGGAGATATCTGAGGTAATCTAGGTAGAGTTTTGGTTATCTCAAGTAGTTTTTAACATAATATTCTTCAAGTAGTTAATACAATTGCTGAGTAATATACTTGAAACCAAATTATTCATATTTATCTATATTTAACTGAAAAAAACTTTTCTATTCAGTACTGTAATATAGAAATACAGTATCCATTTTCATAGATTTTGTAAATTTCTTGATTATGCTTAAGTATGTTATACATTTTGTCACTGTGAAAGAGTAACACAATTTTGAACTAGAAATACCTTATTCACAATGGACTTTAATTGAAGAACCAGAATGGTTGACTTCATTTTTTGTTTCTTCCTTTTTTTTTTTTTGTTCTAAAGATTGAACCCAGGGCCTTGTACATTCCAAGCATGTATTTTACCACCACTGACACCCTTCTCCCAAGTCTGCTAGTTCACTTTACTATGTACAGAATAAATCGTTAGAAGAGTACCTTGCCTAAAAGACAAAGAACTTAGCTGTGCTTAAGAACAGAGGAACTGGGTAGTTAAGAATCAGCCAGACCCAGTAGTTAGCCATTTTATTCCAAAGTGTGCAATCAATCACATAAGTAAAAGTAATGTTTGATTAAACGAAAAGGAAGTAAACAAAATGGATGCATCTAGTTTTATCATGGTCATGTGATTTTGGAGATAATAAAAACACTGATGAGTAGCTAGTTGTTTCCTACACTGTTAAAACAAAACACAAAAAACCTTTGTGCCAGGTGCCAGTGGCTCACGCCTGTAATCCTAGCTACTCAGGAGACTACACGGTTCAAGGCCAACCCAGGCAGGAAAGTAGATGAGACTATCATCTCCAATAAAACACTAGAAAACTGGAAGTGCGCTGTGGCTCAAGCAGTAGAGCGTTCACCTTGAGCTGAAGAGCTGATAGCACCCAAGCCCAGAGTTCAAGCCCCACGACAAAACAAAACAAAACAAAACCTTTGTGTCTCATGTGCTTCACTGACAAACTGTTTTGGTAATCCCCTTGGCAATTAAATTTGAACTGCTCAAAGTAACTGATGTACTAGGTTTGGTCCATATGCCGTTGGTCCAGTGTACCACTTGTTCCTTGGAAGATATCTGTATATCCATGCTTCATTCTTGCTTGGTTTTTAGGTGGCCAAGTGTTCAGAGTGTAAAAAGTGCTCTCAACTCTTCTGAAATAAAAGTATGTAAATGTGCAACATGACATTATTATTCTAGCTTCCTGGCTGCTTTCAGCAAGCACTGACTGCCACATGAGGTCTCAAGTGTTCTGGCATAGTATACAAGTTTTCAAAAGATGTAATGAAATTGGATCTACATTTCCATAGATGTTCAAGTTGGCAAGGAGGAATGGAGTCATGGAATCAGGGTTGGATGGTCTCCATCAAACAGCCTAGGCAAGCGCCTGTGATGCCAGGCTACTAAGCAGAATTTTCAATTGTGAAAGGCCACCACTAGTTCTTCCTCTGGGTCTAAAAGTACAAAATATGTGCACATTTTAGGCTCATACCACTTTTCTGGATGCTTCAGGCTTAATCCCAACTCCCCCATTCCCTGAAGCTCTGTTTAAATTGGGCAGAGTTGTAAAATGAACCAAGTACAAAAGGAGGGGAAATGCTTAGACTCCTGACTAATGTATAGGCTACTATGTAACAGATGAAAGTATTAAAGAGGGAGATCAGGCTGGGTATGTCAGAGGGTCTCAGTTGATTTTAGATGCCCTTGTAATTGTTTTGTTTAAATTGCTCACAGGTACTCTTAACAGCAACCAGCATTTTCTGCTGTTGAAATATCTGGAGCCACAAACCAAATTTACGACTCTGGGTCATGGGCTAAAAAATTTAGGATTGCTGAGTAGAGTCATGGTGCGTCCCGGCTCAGTGCAACAAATACCAGCTTCTCAGACCTTCCCTCTCACACCTGGCCCTCCAACTCCCATGATGCTTCTGCTCACCAAACAGAATTCAAGTTCAATATTGTGTGGGTCCATAATGCTGATTATCCTTTTTCATGATCTTTCTTTTGAAAATTTTATAAGCTCCAATCATCTATTTATCTATCCACAGATAAAAAACCCAAAGAATCCAAGCACTTTATAAAGAATACCTTTTACTCATACAGAATTTCTTATTTAATTTTAGGACAGTGAAAAAAAGGGATTTATAAATAAAATCTATGCCATCCAAGAGGTATGTGTTAGTGTCCAGAACATCCTAGATGAAGTGGCTTCCTTTGGCGAAAGGATAAAAAAGTAAGTGATGCTGACATGTAAGCCTTGGCCTTCTATGGGACAGGATTTCCATTTGTTTCTCAGAGAGTGAAATGCCACAGTTTTTTTTTTTTGGAAGGAGATACTTCTTCTGGGTGATCTGTAGCTTAGTTTCATCATTATTTACTTTGTTTCTGCCAGTCTTTGGTTTTATGGAAGTTCTGTCAATTTCCTTCCTGAAATGGAGAACATATTGGTTGGAAAGAAGTTAGTTTTGAAGAAATAACACTGTCCTAAATTTTAGCACATTTTTCACAGTGAAAGACTGTTCTTAAATACAAAATCCTGATATAAGGAAAAAGCAAACAAAACAAGGATTCAGGTAATCAGATACCTGCATTTTATTATTATTCTAGTTATTCTGATCAGGATTTTCTAAATTACAGAATTGGTACTAATTGTAATAATCCTTAATTTTTTAAACAGCTGAAATTAATAAGCCAATGTTTTATCATTTAGAAATCATCAAATTTTTAAAATAAAAATAGAATCCCTTTAATTTTTAAAAATATTGAAATTAAGACACTTTCTTAATTTTACATTGTGCTCTATTTTAAGTTTTATTTATACATTTTAGTTTCTAACAGAGCAGTTTATGAATACAATGCATCTTGATCAATGAAAACCATTGTTTACTTACAAAAAGGTAGATTTATAATTGATTATGAGTTAAAGATATGTGAAAAGTGGCCTATATAACAATTCCTAATGACCTATTCAAAAAATGGTGTTGTATATCTGGAAAAACCACGTTTTGTTTTAGTTTCATATATCTATGCATTGTTTATCATCCAAACCAAAAGTTTCCTGCATATTTAAATGTAAGACATACACAGAATTTGAAAGGAGTAAATTATTTAAACTAAAGGTAGAGTCATTCATCTGGTGCCTTTCACATTGCAAGGGATAATGCATTTTATGTTGGATAATTTTTTTATTTAATATGTTTTCACATATGCATGTGTGCTGAGTTTCCACTTTCTTCTATTATTACCTTAGAGAAAACAGCCTTCCTCTCATTCTCAAATGTGCCTCTAAGCAACTTAGTCTGACTTGTAAAGAAAGATACATTCCTATGTCTTTTCTCTCTTCTTTTGTGTTATTTGTATCCCTAAGAATGTTCCCTTGCCCCACATACTTTATTATTAAGTATTAGGTATGAAGCCCTAACTTTTGGACAATTCTCTGGGACTACAATATATGCTAATGAATGCTTGAATGAGAAAAGACAAATTTGTAATTGTGTGTGGTTGGAGAGTTCTGAACAGATGTTTGGCTACAAAATCTGATGGTCAGAAGAAGGATTAAGACTGGATGCTTGTGGTTAGAACAGTCTTGGGGAAATCCTGATGTTGTAGAATTTGCCATGCTAAGATACAAGTATAGTAATAACAGCTAGTGAGTCCTGTAGGCACCATCTTTTCTGCATAACAATAATAAAACTGTAATTCCAAAACACATCAAGAAAGCAGATTCAGATGCAATCTTTAAGCACAAAAATCAAGTCTCTATTATAAATACCACATCTTGTTACTAAATAATCATTCCAGAACTATCTTGGGAAAAGAGCGTTTTCTTGATTTAGATTTCATAATGCAGAGTGTGGAAAAGAAAAAGGGCAAGCCTTTTCCACCTACCCACCTTTAGCTACATGGTGAGAATTCTTTACCATTTGTCCTTCCAATACGGAGTCCTTCAGTGGCTCTGCCCAAAAAGAAGGTTTTCTGATTGAAATGCCTTCACACATGGAGTAGTGTGATGGGTATCTCTGAACTGAGCCACAGGAAAGCAAGCGGACTCTCAGCCTTCTATTTTCACAAAAATCAAGGAAAGAACCAGTGTCCATCAAGGAGAGAGGTCATGATCCTTCACTTGCTGACAGTTACTAGGTACTGATGTTGACCATAAGAGAAAGATCAAATACAGAGAAGCCAGCCTCTAGCTGGGTATGGTGACAAATATCTGTAATCCCTTCACATAGGAGGGAGAGGCAGAGGCAGAAGGATTGAGAGTTTGAGGCCAGCTTAAACTTCAGTATGAGACCATCTCAAAGAAAGGAAGGAAGCAAAGAAAAAAGCCTGACTTCTAAGGGTTACTGAAATCATGCAAATCAGAGACTCAACTATGGATCTGTACTAAAAAAAATTTTTTTCTAGTAAAACAGGTGATGAGCCACAAAACCTGGAATAAGCACTTTACCATAAAGCTAAGGAACAACTCTTTTTTTTTTTTTTTTGCCGGTTTTGGAGCCTTAACTTTGGGCCTGGGCGCTGTCCTTTAGCTCTGCAGCTCAAGGCTAGTTCCCTACCACTAGGGTCACAGCACCACTTCTGGCTTTTTCTGCTATATGTGGTGCTGAGGAATTGAACATAGGGCCTCATGCATGCAAGGCAAGCACTCTACCACTGAGCACCTTCCCAGCCCAGGAACAACTCTTAAGTGTTAGTTTGTGAATGAAATTTCTTAGAGGTTTTTTTTTTTTTGGTTGGTCATGGGGCTTGAACTTAGGTTGGGCACTGTCCCTGCACTCTTCAGCTCAAGGCAAGAGCTCTACTGCTTGAGCCACAGCGGCATTCTGGTTTTCTAGTGGTTTATTGGAGATTCACAGACTTTTCTGCCCAGGGTTGGCTTTGAAAAGTGATCCTCAGATCTCAGCCTCCTCTGTAGCTAGGATTACAAGTATGCGCCACTAGTGCCTGGCTAGCAGTTTTTTGTTTTTTTTTTAAATAAAACTTAATCAGAACATCCTACTCCAAGTGACAAATAGGAAAGCAAAATTAAACATGAACATTTATCTGCATCATGTACAATTTCCTATTATTCTGAAGTGTCTTTGGAGCCCTTCTTAATGCCTTGAAAGAAATATCATACTTCAGAATCCTACTAGAGTTGATTATTTCTAACAGTAACACTGTTGTTGCCCTTTTTTCATGTAGACTTGGGACTGAATCAAGTGCTTTCAAGTGCTCATCACTTGAGCAATGTCTTCAGCCTTTCTTTTGTTCTAAGATAAGGTCTCTGGAACTTAGCCAAGAATGGCCTCAAATTTTGCCAGGGCTGGCCTCAAAATTTGTGTTCTCCTACCTCTGCCTTCTTCTGTAACTAGAATTACAAGCCTGGCTATAATATGACCTTTAAGTATGCAACTCTAGATGGAAAGCTCTTCTTATGTTATACAGGAAGAAACTGAGGAGTAGGGGTTGATGCAACTAAAATCATATAATGGAATCTAGTCTTTGAAACTGTGCTCAAAACCTGCAAGCTTTTTGTTAAATTGTCATGCTAAGTCAATGAACATAATGTTAGTTTCTTTCTGGTAGTTAACATTAAGATTTCAAAGAATGCCATAGTGTGCCATGATTTATGTATTCACCCATTGCAGGCTCCACAGTCATTTCTTTTTCTTTTTTTTTCTGGGGGGGGGGGGGAGGTTACAGTCGTGAGGCCTGAATTCTGGGCCTGGGCGCTGTCCCTCAGCTCTTCAGCTCAAGGCTAGCGCTCTACCACTTGAGCCACAGCGCCACTTCTGGCTTTTTTCTTTTTGCTTATGTGGTGCTGAGGAATCGAACCCAGGACAAGGCAAGGGGTCTACCACTGAGCCACCTTCCCAGCCCCTCCATAGTCAATTCTATTCATATGTGATTTTGTTACTCACTCTTAAAAATTATCAGATTAACCACAGAAATTTTACAAAAAAAGTTTTGTCTTTCCATTCTCCATATTCCTGATTCTCTACCTCATTTTTATTGCTTCCATTTTACTTTTTGTTCCATTAAATTATTTTGCATTTCCATTTCCTTAATCATCTTATTGTAACTCCACTGCTTCTGGTCCTTGACCTTGGTTCTGTGCTTGTTACAAAGTTACTGCCAATACTAGCCTTCTCTTGTCCAGCCCTTCACAATTTCAATTACCAGCAGTACAGCAACACTGCCTACTATTAGTCACACTTTTCTGGCTTGAACTCCTTTACAGTTTTCTCACAAAAATCACTATATACTATAGCCCTCCTATGCCAGACATATACATGCAAAAGAGTAAGCAATGCTGACTTCATTTTTAATTATCCATATACTTCTGGGGAAAAAGGCAATGTTAGCAAGTTTAGTTGTACTAAACTAACTCCTTTGTCCTCTTTTTCTTTCTCTCTCTTTTTTTTTGGGGGGGGGTCTGGTCATGGGACCTGAACTCTGGGCCTGGGCACTGTCCCTCAGCTCTTCAGCTCAAGGCTAGCGCTCTACCACTTGAGCCACAGCGCCACTTCTGGCTTTTTTTTTCTGCTTATGTGGTACTGAGGAATCGAACCCAGGGCCTCATGCATGCAAGGCAAGCGTTCTACCACTGAGCCACCTTCCCAGCCCCTTTGTCCTCTTTTTCTGATTTCCAGTTTCATGTGAAACATAGCTAAGTAGGAAGTGAGTCCTTAAATGACATCTAAAATTCAGAGGGTTTACACAAACCTGTAAGAAATGCATGCTCGATAATTACTGGAAGCATTCCCAGTATTGGGGGATACTGAGAATGTGTAGGGGATACTGAAAATGGTAGGCCTTGAAGCATTCCATTGTACACAATTTTAATGCTAGATACTCATTTTAGCAGTAGAAAAACAATTTTAACCATTTGGAAGGCATCAAAGTAGTGTAATGCCATCAGATGCTATACTTGGGAGTAGAAGAGCTTACGAGTAACCTGCGTCCTCTGACAGTATACTATAATTGGCTTTTACTCCATAGAGAAATGCAAATTAACTAGATCCCAAGTCAGTCAGAATCAGTTATTTTAATTTTTGTTTGAAAAAAGGTGTGAAGTGCTCAGATCCCTGATGTGTTAATTTTTCATTCAGTACTTTCAACTGGACTGTCCCATTCTTAAGTTGGCTGGCCATTGTAGCCCTCTGTATGTTCACAGTCATCCTGTACTTCATCCCACTGAGATACATTGTCCTTGTCTGGGGTAAGTAAGACCTTTCTTTTTCTTTTCTAAAAACTGTTGTAGCTGCTAAGAATAAACTATTTTTAAGGTATGAGTTATACTGCCAGCACTTTCTTGTATTTATGGTCATGTAGCTATTCCATGATGAAAAGAGACAAGTCAGTTAAAAATCACATCAGTATAAAGATTTAGATCTACTTTCAAGATGCATTTTTCTTATCCATCACCCTAGGCTCCATCATACTACAAACACGCAGTTGTGCAGATTCTTCATATATAAAAGTGTGACTTTTGTCTAGATATCACTCTGATTTATTTTCACCACTTATACACTAACAGAGGCATTTTGATCCATATAGTGTGTTTAAGAAAGTATTGTTTGTGCTATGGTACTTTATCTTGTGGAAGTCTATGTAAACATGGTACTTATCCAGAACTCCTTACTTAAGAGGTCACCTTTAGGATTCAGGAAAAGGACTGTTGATACTTAGGAGCTCAGGGACCAACAAACTAACAAAAAAAACCCCAAACAAACCCAAAATAAACACACATACATGCAAACCTGCTAAATAAGAACGCTTCTACAAAAACCTACCTTTAAAGGTAATTTTTAATGCAATTTTGCTGTGTGCCAACAATTCTTATGCACATAGGCTCCGTTTAGGAGGAAGTGTGTTCCAGCATCCTTCTCAAATGGTTTTATTTCCATTTCTCTGAAACTGTAGACTTTCACTCACTTTCATTCCTTTTTCTGATATTTAAAGCAACACTGTTTTGTTAGTATCACCTAAATACTTATGGTTAGACTTGCTGTATCTCTTGTGATAAGTAAGACTTTCCCTTTCCAGATTTTTAGAAACTGCAGCTCACTGGAGACATCTGGCCATGTAATCTGCAGTGGCCTTATTTGGTAGTTGTCTTAAAAGTATGTGTTTCATCGGATGAAATAAGAATTAAACAGTATTACTTCAGTGGTAGGTGACTGCTGAAATACTGTCCAGAAATCGAAGACCTAAGTTTTGATGAACTACATCAAGGGCCAAGATGCTCTGGCTTATGCCTCAGTTTCTTCAACCAGTGTTATCTTTTCTAAGAGCTGCAGCAATCCATCTTTCATTACAGGCTTGAAAATAATCAAGGTTATGCATTTTCTAGATGTTTGTATTATAATAAGCATTTATATATAACATCCCACCCCCAAAATTAGATGGTCTTGACTAAACAATCTGAAGCCAAACTTCATCACAGATAAAACAAGAAAGAAAATGTGTTTTCTAAACCCTAACAAAGAGAGAAAAAGCACAATATTGCTCAGTTCTTCCATCCAAATAGCCTTGCCTGATGGGAAGGAGCTACTAAAATGCAGAGAGAAAAAGCAGCCACTGGAAGAAGGGGAGAGAATGAGGAAAATGGTAGGAGAAAGGGTGGAGCTAGATGGAGAAAGAAGCCTTGGTTTCTCAATAAGCCTATATACAAGCTAGATCTTCAGAGCAGTCACAAACTATGGATCTCAGTAATATTTGACCTATCACTTTTTTTTTAGGCATCAATAAATTTACAAAAAAGCTTCGGAGCCCATATGCAATTGATAACAATGAACTACTTGACTTCCTTTCCAGAGTTCCTTCAGATGTACAAGTGGTATGTAGGTTTCATTATTATTACTGCTATTTAATGTAGTGTGGCACTGGATTTTAACTTTTAAATCCTTTTAATGTGAAAGGCTTTAATCAGGTAAGTTAATAAATCCTACAGCAGATTTTACCAATCAGAAAAAAAACTTTCAAATAACCAATAACTTTCAAATGCTAGTAGATTTTTCATATAATCTACTCTTATTCTGTTTATCTGTTCCTCTGGGAAACTGACTAAATATATTTAGGTTCCAAAAAAACCTACCAATAATCTTGGGGAGAATCCTCCTCCAAGCTAAGGTCAACTGAAAAGGACATCATCATGACCTGAGGGGAGAATAGGAATATATAATATACATATATATTATATATATATATATATATATATTTTTTTTTTCAATTATGAGGCTTGAACTTAGGGCCTGGCCACGTCCTTGAGCTCTTTTGCTCAAGGCTAGTGCTTTACCACTTTGAGTCATTTCTGGTGATTAACTGGAGATAAGGCTGGCTTTGAACTGTGATCCTCAGATCTCAGCCTCGTAGGTAACTAGGATTACAGGCGTGAGCCACTAGCTCCCACTGAGCATAGGAATATTTTTAGACGGTAAGTGACATCTGGTAGGTTTGGGTTTTTATAAAAGAAACCATTTTTCCACAAACTATTTGTCCATATCACACAAACAAAAGATGCATGCTGACCCATAATTTCAAAATCAGATAGATGAGGAAGAAGTTGACTACCTTTTGAATACTAAGGCATATCCTAGAGGAGTTAGAGCCTACTACCATCAACTGAGTAAAAAATACTTTATAAAAAAAATCCAGGAAGTTATGTATATCCAACGAAAGTGGTATTACTGCAACTAAACAGTGGGCTGAAAAGATATGATTATTCAACAAAGTGTAGAATCATTGTCTAATCTTTCAAAATTAGATTGAGATGATTTTTCTTTTAATGTAATGTTATGGTTATTGAAGACTCTAACACTAAGTTCACATAAGGATTCATGAAATCGCTGGCAGGTTTTTCCTTCTGATTCTAGCTCTAACACTGTACTGTTTTCTGTATCCTAGCTGGAGATCCCATTCAGCCTCGAGAGAGTACTTTCCCCTCCAAGCAGTCTCTCATTCCTTTGCTTGTCAACTTCCTCAGAAAGTGGCCACCTGACCAGTCTTTCTCTGAACTCTGTTTAAACAGGTGCAATACCAAGAGCTGAAACCAGATCCTTCTCATAGCCCATATAAAAGGAAGAAAAACAATCTTGGCTAGCCAGCTCACAGAACTGAGGAGACCAGCATCTGTTTGGGAAGATAAAAGAAAAAGCTTTCAGCCTCAGCAGAATTTCCTTTCTGCTTCGTATTTATTTTGCCTTTTTATCATGATTGAAAATTTATAAATAGTGTATAAAGGCGTATGTTTTTGAAAATATACTTCCATTGTACGGAATTGATAAAGGTATTGCTAGTAGTCTTTGAAAGCCTTGTTAGCTATGGGTAATTAATATGTCAGAGAAAACTGTAAGGGTGATAACACTGGAAGATACACATTATTGTGTTCTGATTAAATCTACATAAAATAGTTTGATTTTAGAATTTTTTTTAAATGTCACTATTTTTTATCTGAAAATCCATTACCATTTTCTATGTTTTATATTCAAAAAGGGGAAATCCCAAAGCTGTAATCATAGATACAATTCGAATTAACTTAGATCCTGACTTTCACTCCTGTGCAAATTACTAACATATGATTAGGTTGGTTTTAAGCTAATAAATTCAGGTATATTTACCCTCAAGACAATCTTAGATCCTGTAAAGCAAACTTAATAAACTTAATGAGCCTTCTATCATTCCATCTAAAACCTTAAAATCTCTCCAGAACTATGTAACGTAAATACTGCCAGGTTTATAAGTGATTGCCTATCTAAAGTTTTATATTTACCACTGCTTTAATTTATACCGAGTTAGTCACCAACCAATTCAGTTGTTATACATAGTAGCAAATGAAACTCATACTGCTTTTGGTAAATTATACTTTTGTGCATCTAAATGTTCAATCTCAAATGTTCAATGAAAAAAAGTATCTGCTGTCTTATTAGGTTACTAAAATGCTTTAATGCATACTTCGATTTTTGTGTTTTTTTTTGTGTAAAAAGAATGCAGTGTGCTATGACAACATTTCATTACATTCATTTAAGAAAAAAGGCCATCATTCTTGATAATATGAATGCATGAAATATTGTTTTGTAAGATAAACTGCTTATGTGGGGTTATGTTAAAAACATTTCAGTACTTACCACAGAATCTATACTTAAAACACTGCAATCCCAAGACTTATCATAGCTTTTATACTTAACTAACTCCCTGATGTATTAAGGAACATAACCTCTGGAGGAAGAAATAATTCGATGTGTAACAATGTCTTACTTCACTGACTTGCTCGGGGATTAATCTCAGTTGAGATTGCTGCAGATAATGTTTTGCACTACTTTATTAATAAAGAGGTCAGGGTAATGATGGAAAACAGAAAAGTAGAAAGCAAGAAATATATTTCAATCTAAGAAGATTCTTTAAATCTCATCGAAGCTGATTTTTAAAGTATTTTTATTTTAGAGATATGTTGTTAAATAGTATTTCTTAAAATAGAACTATTTTGATCTATTTATACTATGCTGGAAAGAATGTCAATTAAATTCCCTTTCTACAGATAGAGCATATTGAGGTCAAAAACAATTATTTAGTGCATCATGTTTAAAAATGTCATGCTTACATCTGCATATTATCACTGTTTGTTGCAAAAACATACTACTATTTTATGCAGCTGTTACTAAAGTTTACTGAGACAATGTGTTTTGGATTAACCTTTGATTATATCTTGTGTGAGATTTGTGTTGACAATGTCTACTCAGATATTATAAGGCTGATATTCTACAACCTCAGATGTGAATAGTAACCATTAACAGTCAACTAATTTGTTTCCTTGTATTGGATTTCAGATGTTTAGTTCAATGGAAATGTTGTGTACACATTCACTGCATTAAATACAAAAGAAAAATTTATAATCAGTACTGTTTTTTTTTTCACCTGGGGGAGGTTAAGATGGGGAACTGTACGCATTAAATTTTTTTTTAAGATATAAAAATATAGAGAGCTTATTTAAAAAATATTTTCATCTCTAAATAGTTGTACAAAGGAGTTGCTATTCAACAAAGCAGTTTATGAATAGAGTGTGTCTTGATCAATGTGACCACCCCTTCAACATTCCTTCTTACCCACCCCTCCCAGCTTACCTCTCTCCCTCACTTTTCTTAATTTTTAAGGTATTTACTTTTTTCTTTACTATCTAACAACTGCATATTTTTATAAAGAACACAGAGAAATGTGTATTTGGTTTGAAAAAGACAAGGCTTTTCCTGAAAGCCTGCCTATTATATAAAACTGGAGTAGTGAGGTATCCATTGAAGTCGCGATACAAAAATAGCTTGAAGCATGCATATCAGGCAAAAATCACTGCTTTTATAAATTGCTGCATTCACAGCCTGAGAACAGACTACATCTGGTAAAATTCTAATTTTTTCATATAGGTGCATTTTTGTTTTAAGAAATGCTTAATTTGTTTTGGGTTTTGAGAAACTGATCTTGAGATAAGATGAATTTAGTCACTAAATTCAAAGTCATCACCTATATATATTCCAAATTTTTATAACTATTGTGTTAATACAGAAGCTATCCATAGCTATTCATATTTTAACTTTTTCCTCACCTACAAAAAAACAATTTGAATATAGGATAGAACTGAAAAAAAACCCCAAAGTACCACGTTGAGTTCTGGGAATTCAAAGTTATTTTTGAAACACCATTCTAAGACAATATGAGTAAGAAGTTTTTTTTAATGACTTTGCTTTGTGGTATTATTTATTGAGGACCTATTATATTAATTGTCAAAAGCAATGGCCAAAACAGCCATTAAATATTAAAACCAAACCTGGAGTTTAAGAACTTAATTATGTTTCTGATAACAACTTTTATAGGATTTTTTTCTGCATTTAAAATGAAGAAAAGCTCATTAGTATACTTTTTATCCAGAGACAGGAGTTTTTGGTTTTGTTTTTATTTTTTTATTTTTGGGTCCGGTCGTGGGGCCTGAACTCTGGGGGGCCTGGGCACTGTCCATCAGCTCTTCAGCTCAAGGCTAGCGCTCTACCACTTGAGCCACAGCACCACTCCGGCTTTTTTCTTTTTGCTTATGTGGTGCTGAGGAATTGAACCCAGGGCCTCATGCATGCAAGGCAAGTGCTCTACCACTAAGCCACCTTCCCAGCCCCTTGGTTTTGTTTTTAATACTTGAATTTCAACATCTAAAAATCTCTAAAGTTGACAAGAGCCCACTTTTGTATTAGCAAATCTTATCCAAGCTATACAGTTTGTAAACTTATCATATGATGCTTAATGTTTTTTTACGCTATAAATTTTGTACTTAGCAATAAACACAAAATGTGAGGTACTTGATGCTATAGAAATACATGGAAAGAAACACCATTACAATTCGTGGGAAGGCTGGAGGTGTTGTTAAATTAGTATGAATTTAATTGGGGCTTTAAATGTCTAATACTGTGTGTAAATATACAGATAACTGATTTGCTTTATTAACTGGTTTGATTAGAGCATGTAGTCAGACTTTTGTAACAGCTTGGTTGAGTATGAATTAAAATCACATAAAAATAATGTAACGAATACTTACAATACTGTCACTTCTTTCTTTTGTAGTTTTTTCCCCAGGATAATAAGTAGACCTCAAAAAAGAAAAAAAATTGTCAATTTCTTCTGGTAAAACTATTACTCTTATATCATAGTTTCTACATTCACATGGTGGTGGTAATTTATACAGTGGCAATCACAGATCAGGATTTAGTCCAGCTGAATTTCTGAGGTTCAAAAATTTGAAGAAAAATATCTTATTATGGAAAACACTACACAAATAAATAAATATCCAAATTATTTACATAATGTAGAAATGAGCAATGCAATTTTTGTATTTGTACTATCCTAAGGGGATCTGGGTTAAGAACCAAAAAGAAAATGTTACAAAAAATCAAACTAAATATGTAATTGGTCACATCCTTCTTTTACATTTTAAGCCAACAAAACCCTCCAAAGTGAACAACAAATGCATACAAAAAATATTAGTTTTAAAGACACAGTTCTAAGTTTTTTTGTTTTGCCAGTCCTAGAGCTTGAACTCTGGCACTGTCCCTGAGTTCCTTTTTGCTGAAGGCTACACTCTACCATTTGAGACACAATGCCACTCTTGGCCTTTTCGGAATAGTTTATTGGAGATAAGAGTCTCACAGACTTTCCCAACCTATCTGGCTTTGAATCTCAATCCTCAGATCTCAGCCTCATGAGTAGTTAGGATTACAGGTATGAGCCACTGGCACCCAGCTTAGTTTTAAGGTTTTACAGGTTAGTTTTGTCTTCAAATGTCACCGAGAAATTATGACTCCTTTTCCTTAAAAAGTAACAAATGGCACTGCTATTCTGCACTAGTCAATGAACAATTTTAAAGTGCCTTAGGCAGGGTTAGGAAGGTGGCTCAGTGGTAGAGTGCTTGCCTTGCATGCATGAGGTCCTGGGTTTGATTCCTCAGCACCATATAAGCAGAAAAAGCTGGTAGAGCGCTAGCCTTGAGCTGAAGAGCTGAGGGACAGTGCCTAGGCCCAGAGTTCCGGCCCCACCACCACCACCAAAAAAAGAAAAAAAAAAAGTGTCTTAGGCAGAGAGCTTTACAGGTATTTTAGGTGAGTAGCTATGCTATAGTTTCAGTAGGCACTTAGTACCCTTGTAGACTTTTCACTGTTTATTCAAGAAAAGGAGTGGTAAACTTGAGTTTATGAGCAACAAAAAAATCTCAATTTCCCAGGAGGACTGAATTTGGGGAGATCCTGAAACCCAAGGATGAAAGCTCCCACTACTAGTGAGGAAAGATAATATAAGCACAATCTGGTCAAAGACAAGCTTCAAAATTGTTTGAATCAAGTTGTATTTTTATTTTGCCAGGACTCAAATGATGACAGGTTTGGAGGAAAAGCTAAATTCATATAGAAAGAAGCACACTTGGCTCCAGCCATTCTTAATGTCTTCGCATTACTGGAGACACCTGAGACAACAGTCACGACCACAGAAGAGAAGCAAATGGAAGGAAATGCCAGTATCTGTCCCAATTCCAGAAATCCTTTTTAAAGCTATTACCAAACTGGAACCACATAATTATATTTCTTATAATTGTAATCACTACTGTATTAAGAAAAAATGTAAGTCAAAATCTGTGTAGAAGTTTCTAGTTCCTATTATATGGGGAGGATATGTTTATTTTATAAATTCTGTTATATAACAGGAGACATAGCTAACACTAATTTCTGACCATCTACCTATCTCTTACCTTGTCCTGGTATAATTACAAACATATGTTTCTCTTCACAGAAAGACCTTGCAAGAACCTATGCAGAAAAGTCAAATATTATGCATCAGTTGAAGTTTTAAAATAGAATAATGAGATGTCCATTTTATTTGAAATGTGTGATTGTTTAAAATTTCCTTCTAGGGCGTATAAGGGAAAAAGTAAACATTTTTGGGGCGTGGACCACGAAACATTTTGTACTTAGTAATTTAACTAAGATCCAAACACATCTACTCTAATGGGATGACCAGCATATACCAACCACTGGTTCCTATGCACTATGATGCTAGCTCAAAATTACACATGTACTTGGGCTCTGTGACAACCCTAACAGCTGAGAAATCATTCCACCTAAACAGACTGATATTTGTTAGTGTATTGTACTTACAATGTGGTATCCAGTGTATGTATATACCACTTTGAGCTACACTACATTAAAACAGTACCTAACACAGGAAGCCACTTTTCTGGTATTCACATGAGAGTTGCAGAACAGCATGTCCTAGAGAGCAATGCTAATTCTCTCACTAGACAGCTGTTTCTATCCGCATTTATGTTGTAAATAGTAAGTCATACAGTAAAAATTTCCCCCCAAGATCAATGATGAAGAAAAAAAAATTCCTAATATCACAGTAGTGAACTCCCTTCAAAGGCAGTTAGGCACAACCTTTGAAAAATATAGTTATTTAATCATACCATTTCTCCTTGTTTGAATTAAATATGAAAAGACTTCTCAGACAATATATATAATTCTTAAGCTGAACCACAGTTCCACTTCTCTTAAGCTTCCTTCAGTATTTCTAAAATCAGAAAAGTAAAAATAAGTGATACCATGATTTCACATGAAAAGCTCAATCTTTAGCAAATTAAGAATATTACTAAAGAGTACTGACTTGCAAATTGTCACCCAAACATGAGAAGAGTTCCAATGTAGCTGAAAATGAAATCTAGAGAAAGCTTATTATGAAGTGATTATGATTAGTCATATTTACTTTCTAAGCAGTAGATAGTACAAGTGAATTTGAAATGCATATTACATATTAATTGTATTTTAATTACATTCCACATTGAAGAAAAATTGAGTATTTTAAAGCTTTGTCTTAAAAATAAATTCATTACTATTGTAAGTAAATACAAATCACTAACAAAAAAAACCTTGTAGCTAGCTGTGAGAATCCCAGCACTTAAGAGGCAGAGGCATGAGAAAAGTGAGTTTTATGCCATCTGGAGCTACAGGTTAAAGTTCAAGGTCAGCTGTACAATGAGACATTTAACCAAAAAACAAGAGTTGAAAAGAAACATCCAAAGCAAAAGTTATATAGAAAAGTTATATGAAATCTACTACTAGCGTATTTACTAATTTAGAACAATTTTAATTGCATTTAGATAATGGGTGTTTTTAGTGATTATTTAGGGAATTGTTAATAAATGGTTTTCAACCTGTTTAAAAGTCCACCTCTTTCAAAAACATGTTTGAGTAGTAAATAAAAGTATTTTTTAAAAGTTTAAAAGAACTAAAATGGTGGGAAAGAAATAAGACAAATAGACCTACCTAATTTAGGGTACTAAGTATTTTTCTTTTTTACAAAACAGCCTGTTTCTATGATACCACTGAAACTGTATATTTTCATTCATTTAATTAAAAGAATGAATCTTACCTAATAGTAGCTAGACTCTTCCTTTACTAAAATTATTCAAATTTTCAAAAAAAAAGTTCATTCTTGATACCATACTGGGCTGTATGCGTTCAGATATTAATATATTAAATAGCATTTGGAAATTTTTCTACCATAATTTCTTTTTTAAATTTAAATTTTTATTGTGAAAATACCATACAGAGGGGTTACAATTACATGGACAAGATAATGAGTACATTTCTTATCAAGATTGTAGCCCCCTTCTTTACCATAATTTCTTTATTATTGACAGTATTGGGTTTAAATTTAGGATCTTCCTCTGTCCTTTTTTCATGTTTCCAGTCAGGCCTTAATTTTTGTCTGGGCCAGGCTGGATCTTTTTATTTCCACTTCTCAAGTTGCTGGGATGACAGGCACACACCACCAAAACCCAAGTCTTGAGAACTTTTGTGTGGGCTACTCTTGAATCTCAACCTTATTCCCTGGACTAGCTAGAATTATAGAACTGCACCATCATGTTCACCTCCTTGAGCCTAGCAATATCCAGTTTCCTTATCCGTTTGCCCAGTTTTCTTCTTTACAATTTTGTTATTATGTTTACACAGAAAGTCCTTTAAAACACATTATAACTTGCTCAGTAATTCTGTTGTAAAAGACAATACAAAGCAAAAAATGCATCTTTAAGGCAAAGCTACATACCTAAGGTGTACCTTCTCTAAAATAAAAACAAGCCTATTGCATATCAGACCATTCTGGCAATTAGAAAAAATTACCAAGGGTTCTATCATAAACCACTGTGGACCTGATCTTGAAAATCAGAACCATTGACAACAAACTAAAATCTTTTATCTTCAACTAGACTGTTACATTTAAGGACAGAGGAATGGAGAAGCAATGCTAATTTTAATCAATCTACTCACAAGACAAATGACAGTAGGATAGGTGTGAATTCCAAGCTGGATTTCAGATTTTTCAGTTCAGAGCAACTTGTCTTCTGGATATGCTAAACAGTTTAACCTCTACTATTTGAGAGAATAAGTTCATGTATTCCAAAATAGGGAGTCATTCTCTATTGACATGAATAATGCAGTTATGCTCACTTGATATTTGGGAAGGATGATGATTAACTGTGCTAAAGCTGGGTTTAACATCCCCAAAAGAACTAGGAAACAAACACACAAAAATTTTGAGAAAATTTTCAATTCTAATTGAAGACAGTTATTTGAGTTCTATGCATTTATTAAGGTCTATGTGTTATATATATACACACACAAAACTATTTTATTAGGATTAGTTTTTGTAATAAATCACTGGTCATTCTGATGACTTAAATATTTGATTTTAATTCAGCAGTAGCTTTAAAACCTACATAAATATCCAAGTATACATAACGTATTAACTGAAATGATAGATTTAAGGGAGAACTCAATGTAATTCCTTTGGAAGACTAACAGTCCAACAAAATACATAAAATACAATCAGATACTCAAAAGTGTGCATGCACAGAATCAACTCCAAATGGATCAAAGACCTCAAAGTAAGCACAGATACCCTGAAAATATTACAGGAAGAGATAGGGGATACACTAGGGCTCCTTGACACAAGTTGAAACTTCCTAAATGAAGATCCAGAAATGCAACAAATCAAAGAAAGGCTGGATAAATAGGATTGCATTAAATTGCAGACCTTCTGCATGGCAAAGGTCATAGCTAGCAAGATAACTAGCCCACAGATTGTGAGATCTTCATTAGCAATACAACAGACAAGGGCTTCATATAAAAAATATGCCTAGAGCTCAAAAAATTAACTCCTCCCCCCCAAACACAATCCTCAAGAAAACAACCACCCCATTAATGAATGGGCTAAGGAATTAAAGAGACTTACCTGAAGAAGAAATATGAATAGCCAATAGACACATGAAGAAATGCTCAACATCTCTCGTGAACCAAAGAAATGCAAATCAAAATTATATTGAGATTCCACCTCACGTCAGTTAGAATGGCCATTATCAGGAAAACAAATAACAGATGCCATTGGGGATGTGGCCAAAAGAGAATGCTACTACACTCCTACATTGTTGGTGGGAATGTTAACTGGTTCAACCACTCTGGAAAGCAGTATAGAGGTTCCTCAAAAGACTCAACATAGAGCTCCCCTATGATCCAGCAATCTCACTCCTGGGCATTTACCCAAAGGATCACAAACAAGGTCACCCTAAAACGACCAGCACCAACTATGTTCATTGACTCTATGACCATATAAAATGCTAATCAGAATTAACTCCAAGATATGGAAACAAGAGGCTTTTTATTGTTTCTGTTTTTGCTTTTTTAATGTACTATGTGAAGTTATTTCTTCCCTCTCCCCCTATGGCTTATCCCCTGTTGTCACTATTTTTGATTTTGGTAGCCTGTGTCTTGTATATAGAATTGTCTAATTTGGGGAAAGAAAGGGGAATAAAAATGATGAGACAAAGGACAAAGGGTGAACCAATGCAATGGGGATACTCACAAGACACTATGTTGGAAGTGAACTTTACAACGTTGGGGGAGAGGGGAGTTAGGGGGGAGGAAAGATGGGAGAAAATGAGGGAGTAAAGACAGTTAAACAAGGTATGTACTCATTACCTTATGTAAATGTAACCCCTCTGATATCATCCTTACAATAAAAAAAATAGGTGTGCAGGAAATCAATGGAAAGGTGTTAGACAAATGAAGGGGAGCAGGAATGCATTTATAAAATTCAATGCATATTCTACAAGGTTTTTCTTTCTTGCTATTGTTTCTAACATATTTATAAGGTGATTTTGTTGCTTTGTATGTCCCTCCCCCAACATCACTGTATATGATGTTGGTATAATTTGGGAAGGGGAAGGGAAAAAACAAATTGGGATACAGGTGGACCCACTGCAACAATGAGATGTACAAGATGCTATGATGAAAAACAAATTTTACAACTTTGGCACAGGGGGTTGGGGAGTGTAGTCATGGAGATGGGAGGGCAGGGATGGGCAGGGGAAAAACAAAGAATGAGGCAACAATGCTTGATAAGAAATGTACTTATTACCTTGCTCATGTAATTGTAACCCTTCTGTAGGGTATTTTCACAATAAAAAAAAACTTATTAAAAAAATCTGAGGGAAGGGGTCAGGTTGGAAGAGATGGGGAAGAATGAAGGGGTTACATTAATCAAGATTCATTGTATTCATATACTACTCTGTTGAATGGGAACTCCTTTTGTACATACAGCTACTTATAGAAAAACAAGTTAAAAATAACAGCAAAAAGTTCACTGTACTTCTATCATAGATTATATATAAAGTGTACATGTGTCCATATTTTAAAATGTTCTTTATTTAAAAAATATACTTAATCTTATGTTTGTCACTTGTATCTAGTGATGAGGGTTATTGCTTAGGCTTTAAAAACATTTTAAAATAATTTGTTGTTGCTGGGCACCAGTGGCTCCCACATATAATCCTAGCTACTCAGGAGGCTGAGATCTGAGAATCGTGGTTTCAAACCTGTCTGGCCAGAAAAGTCTCTGAAACTCTTTATCTCCAAAATTTACTCAGAAAAAGCCACAGTGGCGGTGTGGCTCAAGTGGTAGGGTGCCAGCCTTGAACACAAAGAAGCTTAGGGACAGTACCCAGACCCTGAGTCCAAGCCTCAGGACCAGTAATAAATAAAAAATAATTTGTAATAAAAACTATACACCTGGTTGTAGGAGCTTATAACATAAAATATTCTCAAAGAAAAAAAATCTGGATGTTATCAGAGGCTAACAAGCCTATCTGGAGTAACTCTAGAGAAATGCTTTCTCTTCTCCAACAATTAACATAATTACGTGTCTCTAGAAACAAAACTAGATATGGATCTATGCAGTTTGGTGTTTTTATAAGCTGTAAAGTATGCTATAATCATTCGGGATGTTCTGTAAAATTCAAATTTACCATAAGAGGGAGAATTCTATACAATATGAAATTCTTTTAACCTCTGAAAATGTCGTCTTTGAATAGAACCTAAAAATGTATGCTCAGAACCAAGTAAAACAATACAACTTTTCTAATTCATTTATAGCCTAGTGATTTCTACATCTTTACCAGAGCAAATAACCAACAAAATACATCCTCTTACTGCAATTTATTTTAACATACAAAGTGAATTTCTTGATAATATAATCTGACTTATAAGGAATAGTTAATTATGTCTCCAGTTTTGACATTACCAGGCACAGCCTCATTCCAGTAGTATCATCATTGGTCTTTCTAACTCAGTACAAATTATAAAAAAATTATTATTCTGAGTTTTGTAAGTTCCAGGAGGAACTTAAGCAGGCAACCATTCCTCATGTCCCTCTAATAAGATCCCTCTCCCCTGATCAAGGACAATGACAGTCTCTCATCAAGTTTATCGCTAAACTACAAAGTTCTACAAAGGTATGAGGACTTTACATTCCTCCTATCTTCTTTTAAAATTTGTCGATTCTTTTTAGCCAGTCCTGGGGCTTGAACTCAGGGGCTTGTCACTGTCCCTGAGTTTCTTTGCTCAAGGCTAGCACTCTACCACTTGAACTACAACAGCACTCCAGCTTTTTCTGTTTATGCGGTACTGAGGAATCAAACCCAGGGCTTCATGCATACAAGGCAAACACTCTACCATATATTCATCTGACTTTCTCTAATAAGGAGAAGGACAAGTATTTTCTGCAGCTTATGTAAAATAGTCTACTGTCAATACTAATATATTCCTAAGAATAAGGAGTAATTCTTAAAACTGCAAAACCATACCTTACCTGCTATCTATACTAAAATGAATCTGCTAAAATAATATTGATCAAAGAATTACACATGACTATTTCATATTTCAAAAGTACAGCAGAGTACTGTTGCTGAGAATTTTAGAAACATATAAAATGAATTTTATTTTTAAAAGAATATATACAACACATCTCACAATACTTACTCCTAATTTACCTTCCCAGATGGTAAGCCTTTTCTTCTTTGTAGAGTTAGCTTCTGTCATGCATGCCACCTGGTACATGGTAGGTGTTCAAGAAATGTTGAATTCAAAATAATAATTTTACATTTGACTTACATAGAATAAACACATTTCTGGTCATCTTGAGGTGAGTGAACTATAAAAATACATATATGGACCACTTTATTTAGCTCAGTGAAATTAAGAATTAAGGACCCAGAATACCACAGAAAGATATTTTCTACAGAAATGATAATAAATATTGCATGGGGGAAAGCTGAATCTTAACAGCTCAAAAATCTCCTCCCAGGGTTTATTTATTTATTTTTATGGTGTGGTAAGGATTCTTAATAGGGTTTTATTTTGTTTTTGTTCTTTTAAAATCCTATGGAACTATGATATCAAACCTGTCAGGGTATAAGGAAGAATAATAGCATTACTCTACTTTTTCTTCAGTTATAAATTTGAGACATCTCCAACTGAAAGGCTAGGGCTCAGAAGTACTATTCTAGCTTTAAGAATTTATTTCCTCTACTCCTCAAACAGATTTAAGGCAATTATGTATTTAAGGCAAATCATATATATAGTATATATTGTGTGTGTGTGTACACAAAGAACAAACAAAATTGGGCAAGCACAGAGGCTCACATTTATAAACACAATTATTTGGGAAGTAGAGATTAGATGAACCATGGTTGGAGGCCAGATCTAGCAAACAAACAAACAAACAAAAAACTGATCTAGTGAAACCCCATCTCAACAAACAAGGCAGGTACAGTTAGTTCACGCCTGTAATGACAGCTATGTGGGAGGCACAGTTAGGAAAATCACAGTGACCTGTGTCAACAAAAATGTCAAGACACTCCCTGAAAAACAGCAAACAAAAAAGAACTGGGACATGGCTCAAGCTATAGAGTGCTTACCTGGTAAGTGCTTACCAAGATCCTATTCTTAGAGGCAGAGAACTCATTAGCATTTGAGTATTTCAAAGCATATCATCAAGGCTTTTAGTTGGCAGATATTACAAAATGCTAATGATAATTTCAACCAAATGAGTATTTCTTAAGGAACATCAAAATTTGAAAATTAATTAAAACTAATGTTAGGGTTAGCAGTCACCAACTTAAACTATTACCATCTTTCTTTCTGTTTTAGGTGATTCATTACAACCAAAACAGCAGGTAAGAACTAGAAAGACAGCAATTTTTATTGTCAGATAATGGCAGTCTAAATTCTATAATGACAAGGTTACTTGTTATTTGCAAGGATACCTAAGAAAAACAAAGCTCACTTAGACTGCTGCTTCTAATTTAGTTATTAACAAACTAGACCAAGATTTGAAAATACATCTGATATCAAGCTGATGGTATCTGTTTATCAAAGAAATCTAATCCTAGGTAGTTACTTTACTAGTAAAGTAATAAAAGCACTTTTTTTTTTTTGGGTTGGTCGTGGAGTTTGCTTGAAGTCAGGGCTTGGGCACCGTCCTTGAGCTGCTTTTGCTCAAGGCTAGTAGTGCTTTACCACCTGAGCCACAGTGCCACCTGTGGATTTTTCTGAGTAGTTTATTGGAGGTAAGACTTTCCTGCCCAGGCTGGCTTTGAGTCATTAACCTCAAATCTCAATCTCCTTAGTAGCTAGGATTACAGACATTGAGCCACTGCTGCCTGCTTCCACTTCTGTTTTTTAAGTGGTTAATTGGAGATAAATCTTATATCATAGACTTTCCTGACTTGGCTGGCTTAGAATTGCCAGATCTCAGCCTTCTGAGTAGCTAGGATTACAGACATGAGCCACTAGCACCAGGGAATAAAAGCACTCTTATTACATGGGGAACTACAATTAAGATCTTGTAAGGATTTTAACACTTTTAGTCTATGATAGGTAATATCTTCTGTGAAACTTTGGCAGACTAGATAAATAATAGTTAAAAAAGGTTTGTGTGATGTCATACTTGAAGGCTAAATAAATATTTATTTTTATTTATTTATTTATTTTTGTTTATGTGGTGCTGAGGAATTGAACCCAGGGCCTCATGCATGCGAGGCAAGCACTCTAAATAAGTATTTATGTAAAAATGTAGAAAAAAAAATCTGGTATTTTATTTAGCTAATATAATGTAGCAGTTTTCACTTTAGATATAAGCCCAGTAAAAAGATACAAAATATTTCCTTATTAAAAGATATATTTTAAACATAAAATAGAAGAATGCCTCCTGAGCAGATTAAATACTGCAAGAACACCTAGTTACATAAAGGCAAAATGGAAGTTGGATGTTTCTTTTCCAATTGTATTACAATGTATCTTATTCCCACTAGTAAGCATTCCAATTTCAAAAGTGGTTATTATCCATGGCCCTTCTTTTAGTTTTTACTATCAAGTGGCTGTTAGGAAAAAAAAAAGAAACCTGCAAATGGAAACATTATTACTCTGTAATTCCTACTGCATAAAATTTTAGATAATCTTAAGTCTATTACTTATATGTCAGTTGTTAGCTTAATAGTTAATAAAATCTATTATGCAGCAAAATAACACATTGTAGTGAACTGTTAAAATGGAACAGATTAAGGGACTCAATTGTCAGATTAATTAACTACATTTAAAACCCAAATAATAAATATTAAAGTTTAGAAATGTTTATTTTAGAAATACACAAAACTATAATTCCTGCAAAGAAATGGAGTTAACAGGTTAGTAGTTGAATATTTACATGAATATCCTGCCATGATTATATGACCTAAAACATCTATAAGAGGACATTACATTTTGTTTTGAAAAAAATATTTAAGTTATTTCTTTTACACATACAATATAAATAAATATCATTTTTCAGAACAAAAATTCTTGAAAATTAATGAAAGTTGTTTGTACTTAAAACTTCTGACCCCAATTCTACACATTGGAAAAAGTTCCATCCTTTATTTATGCAGATGTTTAATAAGTGCTTTTAAAATTCAGCCAGATTAGAAGGTCAATAAATAAGTCAAAATTAGTATTTGCCAGTAAGCTATGACACTTATGATGCCTATACAAAATGACAAAACAAGCTGGCATCATCATGCCTGGCATAATGCCTGGCATCATCATGAAAGCTCTGTGACTGACCGACACATTATGTCCAATGTTACCAGTAAGGCCTCAGTATGTACTCCTGGACACAGTTTCATGTTCTCAGGCAGATCCTTAAGAATACCTGGGAGCTTCTGTAATGTCTTAATATTTCTAGCATAAAGATCCAATAACCAGTCGGTACGAGAACTAGTGGTTTCTTTATAACTAATACAAGCCATAAGCAGCTCATTTAGATGAGTTAACCCTTTGAAAGCTAAAATGAATTCTGAGGATAAATTAAAAATAGAACAAAAATTCAGCAACATTCTACTAAGTAAAAATGAACCAAATTCAAGTTGCTGGTGATAGATGTGTTTCTCTGTTTGAGCATGGAAGTTCTCCACTGTATCTTCTATTTTTGTAATAGCAAATAATTCTTCCTTGATTTGAGGCGATACTACATAATCCAAGGGCAATTCTCCTTTAGAGTCTCTCTGCTGTAAAAGCACTGCGCCTATGAAAATAATAAAATACACAGTGTTAATCGTAAAACTTTATTTTGGCAAGTTAACAGCTGTTTTCTCACCTTTTTTACCCAAATGATGCAGTGCTTTTTCCAATCATGTTTGCTATTAATTCATGTTGACATAATTAATTGGCTACACATGTTGATTGTTTAGTAAAGTGTATTTTTTAAAAGTGAAATTCTAGTCATTTGCCCAAAATTTACCTAAAAGCCTGTATCTTAAATAACTGAAATTAAAAACTTTCATCTTCAATATCATCTTAAAATAAGAAATTCAGTATTCCCAGAACAAATTAACTAAATTCATTATCCTAAATTCTATATAAGAATCAAAGCTATATCATGAACAAGAGGAGTAAATTCCCCTTTCCACTGCTGATAAATTATTCTGGCAGTGAAAAATGACAAGCTTTGAAGACAAATAACACATTACTTATTGTTTGCTTATGTTTAACGTTAGTATGGATAACTTACAAAAACGGAAGTGTCAAACTCAGAGTAAACCATTTATTCAAGCTATATCTAACAACAAAATACTGAAGCTAGAGTTTATCCCCTAGAGAATGAAGGATGTGAGGAGCAAAACAACATTGACACAATATCTAATAACATGGCAAAACACTCCAGTATTTTGTACCTTAGTCAATCAGATTTTATAATTTTTATGTATTTGGCCATAAAAATGTTACAAAGGATATAGATATACTATCTGAAACAGGATAGATTTTAAAAGCTTAAACTTTTTTTTGTTGTTGTTGGCCGTGGGGCTTGAACTTTGGGCTTGGGTGCTGTCCCTCTTTAGCTCAAGGCACACGCTCTACTGCTTGAGCCACAGTGCCACTTCTGATTTTCTAGAGGTTTATTGAAGATAAGGGTCTCCTGGACTTTCCGGTCTGGGTTGACTTTAAACCGTGATCCTGAGATCTCAGCCTTCTGAGTAGGTAGGATTATAGGAGTGAGCTACCTGTGCTTGGCTAAGAGCCTAAACGCTTAATGATGACTTTGACCTGATGGATATAAAGAACTAGGTAAAGTGTATTTAAAATAAAAGATCAACTGTTGATGATCTATAATCAATGTGTAATTTATGGAAAAAGAATTTTAAAATCAAACTTTATTTTTCCTTGTGTTGTCAAAACAAAAAATATGTTCCAATTATTCATATGCAATAAAAGTTTTACTGACATTAAAAAGTGGAACAATATGAATACTAACAATGATAATATCAACTTGTGATAGGCTCAAACTCTGAATCTGACTAAGGCAAAAATAAGCATAATTGCAAAAGGATCTTGATAAATACAAGTAGACTTCCTCTCTCACATCAAGGAATGTACTACAGTTCCCTAGTAAAATTGCATCGATTGGTGCAATACTGTATTTTACTAGGAGCTACACTTACTACAAAAATGGCTATTATATTACTTACATTATTCAAATCAAGACCAAATACTAGCTTGAATGTCAGATACACAATTGAGCAGAAAAATAGTTAAAGAGGAAAAACACTGTATTTTGTAAACAAACCATACTAGAAAAGAAGACAGAAGAAAGGAAGTATATATTGATTGTGAAATGGTAACAGTAAAACAGATATACTAAGGCCTTTAGGGGGCAGGAGAAGACTATAAATAACCAAATATCTTTAAGCTATCTTGCTGTACAATCTTTCTTACATATATATCTGGCAAAACAGATATCTAGCCTTTTTGTCTTTATACAGATTTAGATGATTTAATTGCAAAATAAAATTACGTTACACTCTAAGTTGAAAATAGCACAAATAAAAGCAATACAAGATTTATACAAATCTTTGATTTCATATTACAAGCTTATCAACAGCTTTTTTCTTTTGAAAAACACAAATCAGTGATTTAAGATTTATAACATTCAGTTCAGATTTAAGAATATCCGTAAAAAGGAAAGGGCTTGCTAGAAACAAAGATTAAAAAATCAGCAGAAAAAGCAGATGAGTATCAAGCTTAATTTGCCTTCTTAACAACATCCCTGCATGTCAATTACTACTATTTGCAAACCCTCCTACTTCTCTTAATTGACTGTAAAATGTGAATAGAGATAAATATTCTTAGGTTATCTTTTCATAGCCTATAATGAAATGACATAGTGTGTAATGAAATGCCTTATAAAAATAACACCAAGTTATTAGGTAGATATACAAAATAAAATGAATGGAAAATCCAAATAATCACAATAAACAAATATCCATTTATTAATAAGCTTATAGAAATGACAATTTACTAAGATGCTACATATATTAAGTAAAAAGACTAATATTAAATTCAACATATTCAAATAAAAATATACTCACATGAAACTCAACATACAAGCACACATTCATACATATGTACATATACACACATATATAAAGTATGAAAGAGTTCTTATTATCAAGTACTAAGTCTAAAGATTTTTCTTCCTTATTCACTAGTATGCAATAAAAATCATTTTTCTGTAGATTTTAAAAATAAAATGCTATCTAGCTTCAAGGCTTCCATCAACCCCCCACAAAACAAAACTGGGTAATTTATCAAAACCCATTTAGCATAAATGCACTCACCCCCATGTTGTAGTAGCAGCTTGCCAATTTCTACATGTCCGTTTGACAGTGCATCATGCAAAGGAGTCACTCCGTCCACTTGAGTGAGCAGATCTACCTCTGGACAACGTTGCAAAATTTCCTGGACACATACTGTGTTGCCATAGTTACAAGCTTCATGCAAAGGCGTCCAGCCAGCATTGTCTAAATTAGAAATCAAGGCAAGTTTTAAAACAGTAGTAGTACTTTTGGCTATAAAGTATTGATGCTGTACTTCTTTCAGTATTACTCTGTGTTTCATCTACAAAAAAAGAGCTTTGATAAAAACGACCAAATTGCAACCATATTTCTATTTTTAAGAACATTTAAGTTAAACAATAATTTAAAAATGTTAATGTTGGGATGACAAAAATATAAACATTAATTCTTATACTATTAGTTACAAATCATTATACAGTGAAATTTATTTTGTTTTGCTAATGGTAGTTAAGTAAAAATAAAATTCTCACAAATTTACTTGGACTATTTTTCTTAATGTGACATATAACTATTCTATACCAGAAATTCTAAGACATGACACCACAAAGATATAGACCTTACCTTTAACATTGATGTCTACTCCTGGCAAAGAGAGAAGAAGAATCAATTTTTCCACTTGGTTATTTATGCAAGCTCTATGCAGGGCTGTTTCTCCTGCCATAAAAAATTAATAGATTATTCCAGAGAAGACAAGATATCAACTAAAGAAAATAATCAAAGGGCATGAACTAGAAGGTCTGGCCTCTTGCCAGAAAATTATTTATTGAGTTTTTCTTTTGACTGTTTTAAACATCTCTTGCATTAGAAAAGAGGGAAGGCAGAAGAACCTCACCAATCCACAGAGCTTCCTGTGCTATCAGCAATTCAGCAAGGAAATTCTACAGCAAAAGGTTTAACACAGGCATTGTCTCCCCGCAGTTCAAGGTTTAAAGCTTCAATCCTGCTATAAAAACCCCAAATGATCACAGAACACTGAAAATACTCGATTTTGCAGCAATAAAAGTTTAGAGTGCAATTGCCCCCTCTTAAATTTATTCACGAACCTACGTTAAATGTACGGCTCTTTTTATACAGCATTTATAGCTTAATTCAAACGACTGTTTCTGGCTAAGCACGAGTGCCTCTACACACTCAAGTATAATTCAGAACTTCAAATCCATTAACAGATGGTTTGCTGCTTCTCAATAGGCTGTCTGGCGTGGCTACAGCAGCACAGAGAGGAAGAAATGGAAGAATCTTAATATAAATAACACACACACACACACACACACACACACACACACACACACACACACACACACACACACACACACACACACACACACCCTACCTCTAAGTCATGAACACATTAAAAAAAAATCCCTAGTACCATTTAAAGCTGTCACACACACACACACACACACACACACACACACACACACACACACACACACACACACACACACACACACACACACACACACACACACACACACACACACACACACACACACACCCTACCGCTAAGTCATGAACACATTAAAAAAAAATCCCTAGTACCATTTAAAGCTGTATAGAGTAACAAAGAGAATGGTTAATGTTTATCCTAGGAGCAATTAGTAGCTGCTGGTTAAAATTATCAATATCTATCTCTGTTATAGACAAGATAAATAAAATACAAGTGATACTTTATGGAAAATTATTAGAAACTTATAAAAAGTAATTGCTTAGGAAATAAATTCTGAATCACATTTGCTCTTGCTATAAAATATTAAGTAGCACATTTTTACAGTGTTTTGTTTTTTAGATCATCTCCAACGTCTAGCAAAACATTTCCTTTATATGTTTAGAAAAGCTTTTCAAATTTTCTCTATTTCGCAGTTCTCTTCTAGTTCCTTCTGCTTATCAGCTTAAAGTCATTCATATTCATTTTGCTTTCTGAAACAGTAAAACAAAGAACTGATTCATGAAGTTAATATCAGGTTTTCATCTAATACACTTTTCCTATTTTCGGCCAAATGGGCAGTTATTTTGACTCAGTTATAAGCCAATTATGAACTTACTCATATTGAAAGAGTGAGAAATTCATCACCACTATTATTACTACTTATAATACAAAATGGCTTATAAGCAATGAAATTCAGTAATTAATTTTGGACATGTATGACTCTTCAAGTATAATTTGTATTTTTCAAATTAAGATGTATTTAAGTAAAAGAAATGCCAGAGTGACTTATTACAACTCTATTCTTGTTATTTCATCCTGAGGGTACTTAAGTTCCAGTACAGTTAGAACCAAAAGCCAAACACATTTCATAGTCTGGGCTCTGCGCCTAGAAGAAAAGAGCCCATATGCTTAACACAGCTATGTAACATAGCCTACTCCTCATTCTTTGTTCACAAAATGTCTAGGACTGAAAGAGATGAAGCTCTGAATTATACTTTCAAATCAGATGACACTGATCCTGAGCAGCAGAGTTGAAGTGGAATAGAAAAGTAAGGCGGGCAAGTCTAGAATGACTTTAGTATCTGGAAAGGCAGGGGGAAAAAGATATTACACCAGGTATTAAATGATCACTTTTTTTGTGTAGATGACAGTTCAAGAAAATAACATGCTATCCAAGAAGGTATTTCTTGGACCTAGTCCAATATTTAAGTTCTAGTATTCATCAGGGCAAATAGATGATTTTGCAAGAACTGACTACAAGCACAAAAAGTTCTTGGCATAAATTAATTTAAATGCTTGGAATACCTTTTAAATTAGTCTTGCGGAAATTCATCTTCGTAACTATGGAGGGGCAATTCTCTTTAGAGCATGATAATTGTCCTTCTGACTTCTTTTTCAACTTTTTAAATGAGGAACATTTAGTAAGGGTCAGCTCTCTAAAAGCAAAGAAATAATGAAATCTTATTTTTCAGTAAGGTACATAAACACAGATGATCAGTTTTATTGTTTTGTAGTTAGACTCCTTTATAAGCCACCTTACTCATACAGAACCTTTTCTGCTTTCTAACTTTAAACTGATAATGAATTGATAGGAAACATTCGTGTTGTGTGTGTGTGTGTGTGTGTGTGTGTGTGTGCGCGTGCGTGCATGAGCTGGTACCAAGGCTTGAACTCAAGGACTCAAGTTCTTTCAGCCTTCTTGCCCATAGTAGGCATTATGCCATTTGAGCTATACTGCCAGCTGGGCATTTTACTGGTTAACTGGAGATTGAAACTCACAAACTTTTCTGCCCAGGATGACTTCACACTGTGGAGTTCCAGGTTTCAGTAGCTAGGATTAAAGGCATGACACACCAGCGCCAAGCTATACAAACAATTTTTAGGCATACTTTTTTGTGTGCCTGTATGGGGGCTTGACCTTTGGACCTTGAGCTCTTGCTTGGCTTTTCACACAAGGCTAGCTCTACTGGCTTTTTGGTGGTTAATTAGAGATTAGCGTCTCCGGTATGTTTGCCTGAGCTTGGCTTTGAATGTGATCCTCAGATCTCAGCCTCCTTAATAGCTAGCATTACATACACAAGCCACCACTGCTTGACTTTGTACAGTATACTTTTAGGGGAAGTTTCTCCTTTTGGAGAAATAATAATTTCAAGTATTTCCCATGGCCATTAAAGGGTCTACATTATAGAAAAGTTAACAATTTAAATCACAGACCAAAATTTACATAATATAATTTAAGGAATAGTTTTCAATGGGTGGGGGGGAGAATAAACATTTAATGTTCTTGTGGTACAGAAAGAGGAAATGTTGATTGTGTGCATTCATAAATCTAAATTGAATTTTGTTTGTATGAATATAATTTAGATAGCATTTCAGAAAATAGAAAAGTTCAAGAAAGGTGTCAGAAAAAAAAAAAAAAGCTGTACTCCCAAAACACAGTAGAGCTCAGATAACAACATCACTTACGGTAACTCTGGCAGCCCTTCAACTTGTTTCTGTTTAGCACCATTCAACATTAGTAAGGCTCTCTGAGATTCAAGGCAAGGCCGCTGTCCTATTTTCTTTAATATCTGTATCTTTCCAACTCCATGAGCACCAGTTTTCCCCAAAGCCGGCAAATAGGAACATACCTGTTGTAAAATGGTATTATATGTCTTTTTCAATTACAAAGAAGTAAAAAGAAACTACTTGATCCATTTAACCATTAAGTGAGTGATATTTTCTTGATTTTACTAATAAATATAGTAAATATAGTTGCTGTTTCTATGCCATTCAATCATTACCATCTACACAAGAAAGGAAATGCCTTTTTGAAAATCTTTTTATAGCTCTGATACTCATTTATGAAAGTTCTTTTGATCAGTCTTTTATGTCCAACTAATGATTCATGTGTATATTTTTAGACTTAGGACTTATGTTCAACAAGCATTTTGTTATTTCCATTTTTATAATGGTTTTATTCCACAAAATGCCTGGAATTAAGTAGAATAAAAAGCTAAAATATCCTTAAAGGCAAATATTGGTGCCAATTTATCTAATCTGATCAAGAAACTTGTTACTCATTTGCTGAAGAAAACATTACATCCTAATAATACCTACACATAGCCAGAACAAAATAGAAAGCCTAGTATTAAATATAGCTTACATGTTGATGTACCTAACACATATTATTTGTAAATTTTGCTTTATAAACACCATTAAATACCACATAAGATTTTTCAGGCTTTAGTTCCAAAACAATATTAAGTACTATAACAAGTAGGAAGCAAATATTCTTCTATCATTTTTCTCTTATTAACCTTTACTCACAAAAAATAATCAAAATGTCTATTAATTTGTCTTATTTTTGATGTAGTAGTTTTTTAATGGGTTCAAAAGATTAATGAATTATGCTGTCTACCTATTAAACCAAGATAGTTAGCTGGGCTCATGCCTACCTATTCAAGGAGCTGAGATTTGAGGATCACTTTTCAAAGCCTGTGCAGAAAAGTTCAAGTTCCAGAAGTGGAGCTGTGGCTCAAGTGATAGAGCACTAGACTTGAACAAAAAAACTCTCGTCATCCAGGTCTTGAGTTCAAACCCAGAAAAGGAAGGAAGGAAGGAAGGAAGGAAGAAAGGAAGAAAACAAATGAAGGAAGGAAGGAAGGAAGGAAGGAAGAAAGGAAGGAAGGAAGGAAGGAAGGAAGGAAGAAAGGAAGGAAGGAAGGATGAAAAACTAGAATAAAGCATTACTTACCATTTTCTGAAGAGTGAGTGGCTCAGAGGCAACATTGCTGGAGTTTTGTAAGCACAACTTTTTAAAGACTGCCTCTGCAACAAACATTTGAAGCCATGAAGAGGAAAAGGAGCAAATGAAAACTTCTAATTCCTGTGAAGAAAAGTCTATAGAAAACAAGAGAAGTAAATAGTTATTGCTAATACTGTATTGTTTTTCTCTACATGCTATTTCCTCTGTGGACTTAATTCTTTGCCTTCAAGAAAAAAAATTTTTCTGGTGAATGTTTAAACATTAAAAAAAATCATTTTTATTTTGCCAAATCAAAGTCTCAAAATTACATCCATAAATACAAAAAATACATAGAATAGCTAACATTATAACATTGTGATTGTATTAATATATGAAATATACTTCCTTTAATAAGGTTGCTTTTTTGGAAAACAAGTATAGTTCTTTTCCCTTCTTTCCGTTCCTCATCTATCTACCCATCCATCTATTAGCCACCCATCCATCCATCTGTCCATCCATCATGTAGCTCAATTTGTCTCTGAACTCCTGTCTCCATTTTCTGAGTGCTGGAATTACATGCATACACCACAAAACTTGGCTCTAGAATACTTAATTTTAAAATAAACAGCTATGTTTTTAATTTGCAAAGATCAGTCTTAAGTTGATTAAAAAACTATACTGTATTCTCTGATAACAACCACAAATCTTAGAATAGAAGAAAAGATATAAGATAAAAATTGTAAGCAAGAGACTGTGTAAAGTTTTCAATGGATGTTTGCATCCATTCTATTACTGAAGTAAATTTAAATGATGTAATTTAAACAAAAACAATATTCCAAAAGCCTCAAAACTCCTGTATAGAAAAACTTCAAGTGCTCCAGTAAGATGGAAATGCATTAATACATACATATATTGATATGAGGTCATTCATCTAAAAAAGGAGCCCATCTGGTAGGTTTACAGAAGATAATAAACTATTATACAGAGCATGAACAAAAAGATCAACATGAGAATATGAGAAATAGTCCAGGGCTAAGTTTGTTTTTTGGAAGTACTGTGATCAGAACTCAGGGCGTCATGTTTGCTAAATGGAGCGCTACTACTAGAGGAACTCTGTCAACTCCTTTTCATGTTATTTTTGAAAAGTTTCCCAACTGTGCTTCCTAAGTAGCTGGGATTTCAGGCTAGAGCCACCACACTTGACTTGGAATGTAAGATTTAGAAGGGCAGTCAATTTTTGAACCCCTTATGTTTATTACTAACCTATGTACAATGAACATTTAGTAAATGACAAGTAACAATAATTCATAATAGAAAGCCACAGCAGGAAATCATTTTAAAAAAGCTGATCAGAACTTTTAATTCCCACTGTAGCTTATAAATTTCTTATTCCTTTCTTTGGCCTTATTCCAATCACTCTTACTGATGTTACAATTATCCAGGTACCAAAAGGCTTCACAGAGTCCTAGTGCTTTTCCACTTTAGAATTTTGATAAATATCTGCAGCTAGAACACTTGCTCATGATTCTACTAAACTTCTACTTATTCTTTAGATCCTGTGTTCCATGATAATATAAAGTAAGTTCACCAATCTCAATAGTTACCTTTTCCGAATTTATTTATATATTTATTGTTTTTCCTGGGACTTGAACTCAGGGCCTGGGCACTGTCCCTGAGCTCTTTTGCTCAAGGCTAGTGCTCTACCATTTTGAATTACAGCACTACATTCTGTTACTTGGAAATGCCCAGGCTGGCTTTGAACCTTGATCCTTAAATCTCAGCCTCCTGAGTCACTAGGATTATAGGTGTAAACCACCAGCACCTGGCCCTTGAGCCTTTTTTTTGGGGGGGGGGGGCTAAATTAATAAATAAATAAGTAAATATATATATATATATACATATATATATATATGGTAAAGATACTGTACAGAGGGGTTACAGTTACATGAATAAGGTAACGAGTACATTTCCTATCCAGCATTGTTATCCCCTTCTTTGATTTCCCCCTACCATCCCTCCCCACCTCCCCCGGCCTTTTAAGGCCAGTACTATACTACTTGAGCTACACTTCTAGCTTTTTGGTGATTAATTGGAGTTAAGAGTTTCAAAAACTTTCCTGCCCTGGCTGGCTTCAAGCCTTAATCCTCAAATAAAAGCCTTCACATCAAGCTAAGATTACTGGTGAAAGTCACTGATACCAGGCTGAAGTTTTTATTTTTAAATGTTGTACAGTGATATATTTACATTAAATAAAGACTAAAAGCTAAGGATCATGTTTTACTTACCTCTTTCACCAGAAACTGTTTAGCTGAATGCCTGTTACAATGCCAATAAAAATTAATTGAATAAAGGAGTAGAAAAGAAACACTGTCACTGAGATAATCAGTAAAATAATAAAAAAGTACTTGTTGAAAAGGACTGAGCGAAGATTAAAAAAAAAGCAAAATTGACGGGGCTGGAAAGGTGGCTCAGTGGTAGAGCACTTGCCTTCCATGTATTAGGCCCTGGGTTCGATTCCTCAGCACCACATAAGCAAAAAGAAAAAAGCCGGAAGTGACACTGTGGCTCAAATGGTAGAGTGCTAGCCGTGAGCTGAAGAGCTGAGGGACAATGCCCAGGCCCAGAGTTCAGGCCCACAAAAAAAAAAAAAAAAGGCAAAATTGAATGCAACTTAGAAAAATATCAGGAAAAGATAATCATGCAATCCAGGAAAGTTAAAGTTTATTAAATGTCTTTTTAAGATGCAAAAATACACTAAATTTTAATATTTTCTTTTCAATTAAAACAAGAGAAATAGTAGTTGAAAGTAAAGGATTAGCAAAGTATACATTGCTGTCTGTTTTTATGAATAAAGTTTTACTGGAAGACATGTTCAGTTATTTATTACTTGTAATTACTTTCCTATTATAACTGCTACATAGTTGAGAAAGGCATTCCCTACCCTCTGAAATATTTTACAACCTGGTACTTTACTTTTTTTTTTTGTCTGGTTGTGGGGCCTGAACTTTGGGTCTGGGCGCTGTCCCTCAGCTCTTCAGCTCAAGGCTAGCGCTCTACCGCTTGAGGCACAGGGCCACTTCCAGCTTTTTTCTTTTTTCTTATGTGATGCTGAGGAATCGAACCCAGGGGCTCATGCATTCAAGGCACGCGCTCTACCACTAAGCCACCGTCCCAGCCCCTGGTACTTCATTTTTAAAAAAAATTTGTTAGACCTAAATTAAGCCAAAACATCAAGAATTTCAATTAGGTAAAACATAAATTTTAGATAGTTTGATGCTTTAACATATAGAAAGGAAATTCTATCTAGTGTTCTGAAAGGAAAGAACATGGTATCTATATGGAATTGAGGAGCATTAGATCTCATGGAAAAGAGAATGGTTTTTGTTACTTGTCCTCTCAAACACTTACCTCTTTAATCTTTGAAACAAGTATAAACTAAGAGCCACTACATTAAAGTTAAAATGAGAAAGAATAAATTTGTTACTATAATTTTACTTTGCTTATTAGCTACAGCGAAGGTATTTTATACTCTTAAGGTTATTTACTTATTTCTGTCTCTTGACAAAGTTAACAATCAAGCTTGTACTAACTACAGAACTAAAAGATATTAAACTGAACTAATTTTACAACTATATAAAAGGGGTGACATTGATCCAGATACATTGTTCTCATAAACTGACATGTTGAAATGAAACCCTTTTACTTGAGGATAATAAGAAAAATATGTGAGAAAAATTTAAAGAGCATTCCTATTAGCTAATTTGAAATCTATGAAATCAACCATCTAGGTAGGCATAAATGTATAATGTTTTCACAAGAGTAAGGCTTAAAAATACTTATCAGTGACATAAAATATACATCATCTAGTTTTAAATATGAGTGATTACAAAGATCCTTGACACCAAAGTAATCATGTGTCAACAGGACTGTACAGTAACATTAAGGTTGTAATTTTGACTCATTACTTTCAGGGTTTAAAACTCTGGATAACAATGCATTGCTTCAGAGTGAAGGGAAATTCAGAGAATGAGTAAAGCAAACATTGAAATGGAGGTATAACACATAATAGTTAATACAAGATTCATTATTTCACACATTAGGCTAAAGTATAACATTTCATTAAAGGCAATCACATAATAAGCCAAATATTTAGTCTTTATTTTAGCCAATAATACCAGAATTCCATTATTTCTTAAAGGATAAATAACACCAAACTACTAGTATGAATAGTGGAAAAGAAATGGTAAGGGTTCTGAAAAAAGACTGAATTTGAACTAAGAAATGTTAAAAATGTACTTCACAATGGATAGATAGTCCACAAAAGAAACAGTAATCATTCCCTCAGCTCAAGGAAAAAGAAAAAAAGGAAGGAGATAAAATGCTTTAGATAAAAATCTTCTAACTTTGGTAGCATAAAAAAAGACCTCTCTTTGCAGAGGGCATCATTGAATAACTTCTGAACCCACTTGTAACCTGGATTCCTATTTTAGAATCTTTCTTTCAAAGTATTATAGGAACTGAAAGAAGATTTAAGAACTTTTTAAAAAGAATTTAAAAAATTAATCATGTCTCTCATTTGAAGCCCATAGAAGTCTCATTTGTTTTAAAAAAAAATGTCCATTTCCAGAATGTGGGGTTACAGAAACAAAAGAAAGGGAGGACGAAGGGATGAAGGTTAGAGGAGACACAATTTTCCTTAAACTGTGAAGTTAGAGAATGTATATAAGGTCTTAAGGAAGCCTCCCTCTACCTGTAGACCTAAAAAATTGAGAACTTTTCAAGGAGTGACAGAAAAAGAGTTCTGTCATTGTATTTCTTAAATACTACTCTTTCCAATCAGCTTAAGAGGAAACTTTAATAACAAGTAGGTACTGTGGTGGAGTGGAGGAACAATACATGTAAGCAAGTTATGTTTATTTCTTGTTAGAGAACATTAAGTGCTGGGCACTGGTGGCTCACACCTGTAATCCTAGCTACTCAGGAGGCTGAGATTTGAGGATCATGGTTCAAAACCAGCCTGGGCAGGAAAGACTGTGAGACTCTTTTTTTTTTTTTTTTTTATTGTGAGAATACCATACAGAGGAGTTACAATTACAAGGGCAAGATAACAAGTACATTTCTTATCAAGCATTGTTGCCTCTTCTTTGTTTCCCCTTCCCATCCCTTCCCATATGATTTTTTTTTTCCCTTCCCCTCCACAAATTATACCAAATTATCTCCAATAAACCACCAGAAAACTGGAAGTGGCGCTGTAGCTCAAGTGGTAGAGTGCTAACCTTGAGCTGAAGAGCTGAGGGACAGTGCCCAGGCCCAGAGTTCAAGCTCCACAACCGACAAAAAAAAAAAAAAAAAAGTTTTCAACAGTAGAACTTGTTATACAGCAACAGATACTAGGGGAAAATGTTATAAGTCATAATATAAATGGAATACATACAAAAGTCTTAATAATGAGCATTCTGATTTCAATGAGTTTTATTCTTTACCCTCACCTAACTGTTATTAGAGGAAAAGACCTCAGAATTGTTCTCATGTCACTGATAGGATTAGAGACTGGTAATACTTTCAACTTAACTTGATTATAAGTGTTAAGGCATTGAAAACAGTTCTTACCCTGATTCTCATACATTAAAAAAAAAATCTGACATTGTCCAAAAAGAAATGTACTTTTTACCGTATATAACTGTAACTCCTCTGTCCACCACTTTTATAATAATTAAAAAACGATAATGGGGGAAAAACTATCTTTACAGTGAAATAGAAAAATATCTGTTTATTATAGAAGATGGTACATAATTTTTAGCTACAGAATGAGGGAAATATTTACTAATATTATATACATTTTTTTCAAGCAGTACTTTATTTTCCTTTTTGGTTTGACTGGGACAAGATCCTGAAAATATAATCTAGGCTGGCAGTACTTTACTATATAGGCTAGGCTGACTTTGAACCCATAATCCTCCTACCTCAGGCTCCCAAGTGCTGACATGCCTCACTTCCAGATAATATTTTCTATACTATCTAGTCAATTTATATGAAAATCTTCAAAACAGTAATTTTGGATCATCAATTATATATATATATAATTATATATATATATAATTATATATATATATATATATATATATATATATATATATGAGGAAAGGATTCTGCAATGTTTATAGGACAAGAAAAACACAAAACTGAAAAGACAGTGACTTCAATTACATAAAAATATTTATAAATATCAGGAAGACATTTTTGTTATGGGTAATTATTATGGGTACATTGGGGTAACTTTTATCTTTTTTCTTAATTCTGTCCTTGATATATATATCTATGTGTTTACGGTTCTATACCTACTTTAAGGTAAGCTTCACATAAACACAGAATTAAGATTAGGCTGCTTAAAGGAAAATTTCAAGAATGAGTCTTATAAAATCGGTATACTTACCATCACAAGAAAGGGAAATATAACTTCCTAAATCATCAGACATGTGTCGCATCACATTTCTGCCCATCTTCAGACCAGAGAAGATCCAGTAATCTATTGCTACTCCAAGAATTCCAGTCAATAAATAAGCCAGTTCATGTTTGAAGACCTAACATTAAGATGAGAAAAATGTTTACTAATATCTATGAAAACATAGGCTCAATTTTATTAGCATATTTTATTAGAATATACATACTGCACAAAGATATCATTGTAATAATTGTATATATGCATATTAGTCTCTTTTTTTCTTTCTTAGCCTCCATCCTCCATTTTCACAACAAAATACAGGCTTTAGGTAAGTTTACTTTCAAAAATTGTTGAGAAGCAAAATGCAACTGATTTCAAACACAGGGAATGCTAATGCTAAAAGAACTCTAGCAAATCAACTCCCTTTGCTTTTCCTTTCCTTTCTACACAGACACAGACACACATACATACACAGAGTTTAGATATCTCCAATATTTAAAATGGCAAACTAAATAAAGCAGGATAATGATGGCCCATTTCTCTAATCCTACCTACTGAAGCTGAGGTCTGAGGAAAGTAGTTTGAAGGAAGCCTGAGAAGACAATCAGAGAAACTAGTATCTCCAATTAATCAGCAAATCAGAAGTAGAGGTGTGGTTCAAGTGGTAGTTCATCAATCTTGAACAAAAAAGCTAAGCAAGAGTACAAGACGGAGTTCAAGTCACAGAACCAGTACACACACACACACACACACACACACACACACACACACACACACACACTCACACACAGTAAGACTACGAAGGTTTCCGAATTTAAATACATACACACAGTAAAACTTTGCAGTGATTTTGGAGAAAAGATCCAAGTCTAAGTATAGTCTAATCACTATTTTATACACACCTTATACATATAATTTGAAGGTAACTATAAACAACTGTAGTGGGCCTACATTTTGTGACCTATCACATGAACACAGGTGTGCATTTTTCACTTGTAGCATATGTTGGTGTTCAATAAATTTTGTATTTTAAGGTATTTAGGATTAGGATTACCCAATTTGTATTTGGCAAAGTAGTTAAAAAACAAGTATGTATGATAGTATACAATGAAACAAGATGCTTTTATCAGGTAGTATTTTTATTAAGTATTAATTATTAAGTAAGTGGCTGTTGTGGATTTCTATTAAAGTTATATGGCTACAAAGGACAGATCTGTCATCCTTACCATTCAAATACAGAACTATTCTTTAAATGGCATTTTCAAAAAACGTGACTTGAAAAACATAATAAAAAGTTGAGCATCATTCACTTACACACTCCTCCTTGTCCTTTCTCTTCCCCTTCCATCTCCTTATATTTTCACTTTTAGAATAAGTATTGTTAAATTCTTCTAAGAAATATAGCAATGCTTAAAACATTTTCAGTATGTTTTACCCTGCTACTTAAAACTATTTTTCTAATCTACAAAATCAGAATAAACTATGAAACTGAGAAGTATAAAAATATTTTTAAACACCTTGAAATATAAACTCTTTATCAAAGTGACAGTTAATTTTGTTGAAATTCCTATATTATTGCTATATGCTGTCTAGGTATGTTATATATGAAAAAACTTGTTAAATTAACAACAAACAAATTTAAAATATATGAAAAGATTTTAATAAGTATTATAGCATCCAAATACTATAACTGTATGTTCTAATAACATATATGGGATTAGTGAGAGAAATACCTAGCAATATGAATCCTCTGGCTACTGTTCTTTTTCCTGCTCCCACCAAACAAGTTTTTAATAAGTATATGTAACATTTAATTATAAAATTATTCCTTACGATGCCATTATACAAATGACTTCAAAATGGATATTTTATTTCAGTTCTGATGTACCAATACAAATAGTTAAACAGCACATGTATCAGGCTTGCCTAAACAAAGGATCAGTAGCAGATGCTCAGGTCCTCCAGCACCCTATCACTCTGGAACACTAGGCTGAATTCTGGCAGGGCTGATGTTATAACCTAGGATATTAAAGCATGGAGCTTACAAGATTTAAGCTGCATTTTAGAACTTACAGAAGCAATACCCTTGTTTAGATGTGTTCTAAGACCACAGTAAATGGGCTGGTCCCATGAGGTCTGAATTCATGCGTGGACAACTATACCACTCTCTCCCAACTTGATTAACAAGCCTAGTTTAAGTCTGGCATTTCAGTTGTGTGTCATGGGAGGTAGAAAATGAATGTCCCATCCCATCAGCAGCACCAATATTTCCTAGGTATGATCTGGAATACTAGGGTCCAATGCCAGTCTAGATAACTTTGCAGGAAAGCAATACCAATCTTTATAATGCCAACAGGTATTATCAGTCTGAGCCAGTTAGTACTTATCTTCACACATGTTATCAAAAGAACATAATACAAAACAGTAAAAATAAACTAATTAAATTCATTCTGTTTTTATATATACTACAAAGTATTCTTCCCAATACAATGTGTATATCAGCAGTTGCATTACTCGGGAAAGAAGAGAATGGTAAATTTTGATTTCTGAGAGTGATCCCCATCAAATATATAGTAAATGAGTATCACTTGATATCAAGTCCTAAATCTCTTGAGTCAGGAATCAAAGACATTAGCCTATAGATATAAGGCTCATATAAAAAAAAGAGGATGCACTGAAGTGTCTAAGAAAGCAGGTGTGAGCCACATGAGGCTATCTCAGACTGAAGCCAGCCTGGGCAGAAAAATCTTTGAGAACCTAGACTGCAAGTGGCTCAAGCAGCAAAGCACCAGCCACAAGCAAGAAACCAAGAAAGCTGAGTGAAAACTTGAGGTCCTGAGTTCAAGCCTTGGTACTGGAATAAAAATAAGATGAAATAAAAATAAATAAATCTAGGTTTACTTAGACCTGAAACTGCAATTCAATATGACTATTACTGTGATATTAAAGTTACCAAGCAGTTAGAGATGATAAAAGGTTTTCTTTAATGATTTTGAAGAGTAACTAGACCTAGATAAGGAACAGCCTGCCAAAGTTACTCTTATCTGTGTATCACCACCTAAACATGCACATCTACATTAGTAAATTTCTACCTACAAAGACACTTTCAAGTCTAGTTTTTAATCCTTTCATTATATAGATGCATACATAGGTATGTACATATATACATATTCATTGGAGCACTAAAAGATAGAATGCAAAGGCTTAAGCTTATGAGGCAAGCACTCTACTTGAGCTATATTCTTAGTTTTTGAGATAGTGTTTCAAACCTGGGCTAATTTTGCTCAGGCTGACGTCAAACTTATATTCGCCTGTCTGCCTCCTAAGCAGCTAGGTTTGGGTGTGCCCAACCACACCCAAACCTTCACACTATATTTTTAGCTAAAACACTATAGCCACAGGACTAAGACACTGTACTACAGATTTTATTTACTGTCACTTTTACAGTTTATAAACAATGCTATTATTTTCTAGTTTGGTAAATATGTATGCTCCAGAAGTCTATTAGTAAGAAAATAGCAAATAAATCATCAAGGGAAATAAAGCTTCTTGGAATCCTGAAGTGCTGAAATGTTTGTTTGCTATAGATCAAAGAGGAGAAAATGAATTAACAAAAAAATAACTAAAGACAATTTACAAATGCCAATTTACCTTAGAGCATCTAACATGTTAAATTCTATTATCAGACTTTCTGTCAATACCATTCTCTGTTATTTGCCAGTACAAGCAATCTCTAGTTTGTAAACTTGGCAATTATTCACAAATTGACTACTTTATAATATACAACAAAATTTGCCTCCTAACTCTTAGGTTAGGGATTTCTACGATGTTTCCCTGTGAGACAAGACAAACTATTCTGTTGGAAAGATGCAAACATAATGCACACAATGTACCTCTTCATGTTTTAAAGCTTGGCATTTGAAAATGAGAAAGTATGTAGCAAACTTGGCCTCTAGTCATGGGCTGTGACACCTTAAATAAGTTACTTAAACTTTAGTTTCAATTTCCTTATCTTTAAATTCAATCTAGCCTCCATTTCCACCTATAATTATAGAGTTATGCTTAAATAGCACTTGAGGGCATTTCAAGGGAAAAAAATGGGACTAGCCACTAAAGCTTCATAAAATTCGTACCTCTTCCATAACCCATACCTCTGTTCTTTGCCAAGGAGAGCCCAAAGCTTTCTCTGATTAATGACAATGAAATTCACTGCCATCGTGTCACTCTGTAATATGTTCTGATTGACATTATGACAAAACAATATTAGCATAAACTGAGGACTTCTGTTTAGCTAATGACTTAAATTGAATGCTTCAACTCTGCAAATCAAGAAACAAATGCTTTACAGTACAGAAAATGATGTCTGTGAACATGCATGGAATTCTGAAACTAAAAACTGCCAAAAAAGATTTAATTAAGTACAAGAATGAATTCTAGGAGAAAGGTATTATAATAAAAAAAGCAGTTTATGTAAATTTAAACAATTCAAATGTTAAATATTAATTTACAAAATTTAAAACCAGTTTTCATATTAAACTGATGCTACAATTTATTGCAGATTGCTTCTCAAATGGCTTTATTTATAAATCTCCAAAAAAACTTCAAATATGTGTAAATCTGTTATTATTTACATTACTATTTCCAGAGTTATCTTTGTTGTCCTCTAATGATTTAGCAACTGTGAAACTGGTAGTTTCATTACTGATTTCAGTATAGATGAGCAACTTCATTTATATAATGGTTCAATAACAAATAGCTTTGAATGACTATTGTATAAAAAGAAAATAATTTATAGAGAAACTATAGGTTTTAGATTAGAAGTATTATACTGCAGTGACAATGCTGTATATTCTAGCAATGGGCTCTATTCTGGTTGAGTATTATAATTTTTCTGCCTACTTGCACATTCATACAGGTTTTCAAAGCCAAACAAAGCCCACAAAGCTAACAAATCTTGCCCTAATTCCTTAGGCTGCTACTATCAAAACACCTAATATACAGAATTTTGCTTTTTGGCTTTTAGAGGAAAGGAATAGAAAATTTTCTGAGATAAGGGCATATGTGTGTGTGTGTGTGTGTGTGTGTGTGTATCCATTGTATAATAGTAAGGTTGAATTAATTAACATTTGTATTATGCCACATACTTTCTCTTGTATTGAGAATTTTTAAAATATGTTTTTAGCTACTTTTTATTTTTGTGTGTGTGTGTTACTTCCTGGGGCTTGAATTCAGAGTCTGTATTTTAGCTATTTCCACTCAAGGCTAGAATTGTACCACTTAAGCCATAGTTCCACTTCCAGTTTTTTTTGTTTTTTTTTTCTTTTTTGGGTCCGGTCGTGGGGGGCCTGAACTCTGGGCCTGGGTGCTGTCCCTCAGCTCTTCAGCTTGAGGCTAGCACCCTGCCACTTGAGCCACAGAGCCACTTCCGGCTTTTTTCTTTTTGCTTATGTGGTGCTGAGGAATCAAAACCAGGGCCTCATGCATGCAAGGCAAGTGCTCTACCACTGAGCCACCTTCCCAGCCCCGCACTTCCAGTTTTTTGATGGCTTAATTAGATAAGAGTCTCATGAACTTTTCCTGCTCAGACTGCTTTGAACCACACTCCTCAAATCTCAGCCTCCAGAATGGTCAGGATTACAACCATGAGCCACCAGTGCCTGACCAAGTCCTAATTCTTACTTAATAAGATACTAATAGACTTCACACTTGAGTAAATCAAAAGCAAAACTCCATGTATTTGTAGTCTTTAAACTCATTTGGACTGTAGAGGGTTGCTCAGACATAAACATTGGATGAGAAGTCTGGTTGGGAAAAGATTATTAGATTTTTTTTGCCAAAAATTGTTTCAACAAATATTTCTTCAAATGCAATTTATAGCACATAATAAAAGAGAAATAGTAGAAACAATAATAAGAACAGATCAACACAAGACCTTGGATGTAGAAATAATTGGACAGATTAAAAAGAAAACTGAAAATTCTTTAAGTACTAGAAACGATAAAAGTCACAGAGGAAAACAAACACCTCTACACAACTACTTAAAGATAATAATTTAAAAGAATCCTCAATGGTCATGTTAAAAAACATTAGATAACAAAGAAGAAAACTAGTAAAGTTTGATGAGTCAGACGCTGGTGCTCATAACTGTAATTCTAGCTCAACAGATCCAAGATCCAAAGATGGTGGTTCGAGGACAGTCTTGGCCAAAAACTTTACAGAACTCCACCTTCAAAATAAACATCAAAAAGCCAGACTAAAAGTTAAGCTCAAGTGGCAAAGTGGTAGAGTGCAGAGCAAGCACCTCTAGCAAGTGCAAGGCTTTGAGTTCAAACTCCAGTACTATAGAGGATGGGGGACAGGGTTCAAACACTTACATACAATGCTGCACGAATAGAAAATACACACACACACACACCCATGGAAGCATGACATGTAGAGGAAGTATAAGTTCAGTCAAAATTTAAATAGTACAGGAAAAAAACAAAACTGAAGAAATATTTGAGGAAGACGTTATTCTTTCTTACAACCTAGTCAACTTTATTGGCAGTCTGATACCAGACTGATACCTAAGTACTGTTCACTGTTTTTGAAGAAAATATGGCCTAACTGCTGATTATGGGATTATAACTACCATTTACATGACCACCAGTTAGAATTACCATACACAAAGAATAAACTGTTAAATAAAATACATCTATAAATTAGATTCAGAAGAGGTGATTGAAACAATTGTTAAACTTAATCTAGTAGGTGACCAAAAGCACTGGAAACTAGAGAAAACACATTGTGGTGCCTACAGTTCATTAATTTCCAGAAGTCAGAAATCATATAAAGCATTCTTTAACTGTAACTTAACAGTTAGGAAAACACACTTAACTTTCATTCACAAAACAAGAATCCATCCATTTAGGAACTTTAAAACACCTCTTTAAAATATGTCTTTATAGCAAAGGAAAAATCAAACTTAACAGAAACAGAAGTAAACACATCCTACAAATAAAGCACCAAAATCAATAGAATGAAGGTCAAACTGAATTGCAAAGGTAACAAATAAAAAAGACTAAAAAGAAAAAAGAGCCAACCATTGGAAAGACAGAAGTAAAAGAATTAAAGAGAGGGGAGCAGAAATTAATGATACAACATGCACGTGCACACACACAAATCGACAGTAGAACCTCAAAGACTACTTTCAGAGGAGAAAGGTCACAAGTATTTACTAGGTACTCATTCAAAATGTACCACAAAGTATAGACTGGTTTGGGTGGATGATAAATAACTATTTCAGAATATATTTAAAATGCTGTATGTTTTACATGTTTTCTTTATTTGCCAGAGTTTGAATTTTTGAACCAAGAGCTTTGTATTTTCTAGGAAGACACCCAACCACTTTGTGCTATAGTGTCCAGCCCTTTCTGGTTTGATTATTTTCAGTTAGGATCTGACTTATATTTGATGTCAGACATGGCCATGAACTGTGCTCTTTCTACCTATACCTCCCCACTGAGTGAAGATTACAGACATGATTCACATACAATTTGTTAGTTGAGATGGGGGTCTCATTAACTTTATGCTTGGATTGGCCTCAAACCACAATATTCTTTGGAATTCCTCCCAAGTAGCTAGGATTAAAAGCATGAACCAACACACCTAGCTCCATTTTTCTCTTTATACACTAAGATTTTATTGCACAAAATTTTTCCATTTTATTCCCCAGCTAACATGTAATAGATTTTTCTTATCAAACTGTCTAAATAGAACAGAGATTTGAATATAATTTAATAATGTCACAGTCAACTAAAATTTAGTACTTCAAAACTCTCTTTCTATAGACAAGAATAAACTCTTCCCATTGGATTCTAAGCAACCTAATATATTTTAAATTACAGGTTTAAAAAGCAGAGAAAAAAATTATACTCTAATTTATTTAACAATAAACACAGTATCATAAAGACTAGATTGCATTGTCTAGTGAGTCTTAAAAATAAAATTCAATTGCCTTGCAAACTTACAATATTTATTTTAACCTTTTTGATTTTTTTTTTTAGTTTTACTACTTATAAAATCAAATTATCAGTATTCTCATAGGCTACTGTAAGAAATGACTGTTAGGATACAATGAGTCTTACTATAAAACTGTTATATATTTTACAATTTTCATATTCTCTTCATGGAGTGATTATTTTATATTTGTGAATTGACTTAAAAACTCATGTATACTTTTAATTGGGGTTACTGTCTTGTTAGTAGAAGACAGCTTAAATTTTGGTACCCTATTTTTCCAAAATGTCTTTCTTCATGTAACTCAAATTTACATAAATATTTATATTTATGTTGAGATCCAGCTTAACACTTTACAAACTGTCTTATTGCATTTACTTTTCCAATTCAGGCAAGAACAAAATACATTGAAAACATTTTGGTTAAATTTCTATGACAGGCAAAATCTTTGAAGAAAGAGTTCAGAATATAACTTACCAAACAGCAAAGGTTAAAAAACAATCAAAATTTTGATTATAGCCGGTACAGTGGCTTGTATTTATAATTCTATCTACTTGAAAGACTGAGAGGGCCACAACTGCCAGGCCAGCCTGAGCAAAAAGCTTGCAAGACTCCATATTGCAATCATTAAAAAATTGGGTGCAATTGTTAGCACTTGTCATCTCAATTATGAGTAAAGAATAAACAGGATGATCACGGTCCAGGACATCCTATTAAAGAAGTAATGAAAGCAAAAATGCCTGGCAAACAAGGTAAGCTTAAACCCACCAAAGGACCAAAACACTAAACCAAATAAAAACCAAGTCTACTTTTTACTGTACTACCACTCCAAGAATTGTATGGATTGATTCTTCTGTTCTTCCTTTAATATCCTTATAAAATGAAATACACTGTACTAAAGGACTTAAAACTAATTATAAATTTAGACACGATGATCAAATAATTATAGATCTAAATAAGAGATAAAGAAGGACCTGAAGGACAGACACACTAAATATAAAACAATGACATAGCCAGGAGCCAGTGGCTCATGCCTATAATCCTAGCTACTCAGAAGGCTGAGTAGCTTGAAGCCTGACCAGGCAGAAAAGTCCATGAGACACTTACCTCCAATCAACTACTCAGAAGAAGCTGGAAATGGAGGTATGGCTCAAGTAGTATAGCACTAGCCTTGAGCACAAAGAGGCTCGAGGACAGTGTCTAGGCACTTAGCTCTCAAGCCTCAGAACTAGCAAAAAACCCAAAACACACTAACAAAAAAAAAACAACCACAAACCAAAACCAAAACCCCCAATGATTGGATTTATTTTAACTTTTTCAAATAATTATTCTGTAATGGGAGAAGGTACTGCAATCCTTCAGAGGACTGGTTCTAGGACTCAGCTCATGGCTGTTCAAACCCCTAACAGTAAATAACAGTAAATAGTATATCCTTCCAAACACTTCAAATCATCTCTAAATTACTTATAATACCTAATCTGATCAAACATTGCATAAATAGTTTAACAATATACTGTTTGAGGATGTCAAGAAATAGTCTGTACATGTTCAATACAGAGCATTTTTTCCAAATATTTTATGTATTATGGTTGAATCCATGGATGTGGGACCTACAGATTAAAAAAAAGAACCAAATACAGTTTATCTATGGACCAATATTTATTTGTAAATTAATCTACTTACATCATTTGACTTGCATTTTTCCTTGTGAGAATATATAGTCCATTCCAAAAGCAGATTTACTGGCTTGGTCAAAAGCCCTGAGGTCTCACTTCCTGACCAGAAGATTTCAAGAGGAATTGCCTTTCCTGTTATTTTCAGACTCTGAGAATCTGACCAGTCATACAACCTAATAAAAATCCGAACAAAAAGTGAACCTTTATGTCCAGTTTAATTGTGAGTGTTAATAATATCATTTGTAAGATTGAAAAAAATGTTAGCAATTTTTGGACAAAGGTGATAATGTATCAACATTAGACATACAAAAAATGGTCTAAGCTTAAAAAGCCCAGTAATTTATTTTGTAGTTTAAAACTACAAAACTTACTGGCATTATAAATAGTTGTTTAGGATAACTTCTCACTTGGGTACTGAGTTACTAAAAAATTAAAAAATATATTAATCATGAAAGACAACAATACTAATCCAAATAAAATGTAATAAAAAATATGAAATAAAGAAAATAAAGAAGGGTACTGGGGTTTACCCGAAAATGTTCTTTAAAATAAATCTACTTGAAGACAAAAACAGGTGACTTTCTAGAAGTATGATTTCGAATGATTATAAAAACATAAATAAAACAAAGATACACAAAACTGTTGTTTCTTGTTATTAAAACTTACTTTTGACTCAAATTCCGGACCTCAGTTTCAATTAAATTGAAGAAAAATTTGAGCAGTGTAAGGTAGAGTACCTTAGAGCCAATACTTTCTGGAATTTGATGACAAAAACTTTCATTGAAAAGGCAAGACCTGAAAAATATGAATCCAACAATCCATAATACAGAAACAAAATCACTAAGCAATATGTGGACAAAATATTTTTTAAAATGTTGGAACTGTAATAAAATTCCTTCTGTTAAAATATAAAGCTGGGCACTGTAGGCTCATGCACAGAACCCTAACAACTCAGTAGGTTAAGATCTGAGGATTGTGGTAAAAAGCCAGCTGGGCAGTAAAGTCCGTGAGACTCTGATATCCAATTAACTAGGTAAAAGTAGAGGTATGCCTTCTAGTATTTCTGAAAAGGGACAACATAGATACTAAAGTTCTTTTCTTTCTTGCTTTAAATATTATAGTATATTAAAATACATACAGGGCTGGGAGTTGGCTCAGTGGTAGAGCGCTTGCCTTGCATGCATGAGACCCTGGGTTCGATTCCTCAGCACCACATAAGCAGAAAAAAAGCCGGAAGTGGCGCTGTGGCTCAAGTGGTAGAGCGCTAGCCTTGAGCTGAAGAGCTGAGGGACAGTGCCCAGGCCCAGAGTCCAGGCCCCACAACTGGACCAAAAAAAAAAAAAAAAAAAATACATACAAAAGCAGAAGGAACATTATGCAGCTCATTTATGTTCTCATCACTTCTCTGAAGTACCATCCTGCCCCAAACACCCTAAATCACAACTACTTTTTTACAAAACCTGGGTATTTCTGCTTTTTAAGAAGTCTACTTTTAAACTGCCCTAATTCCCTCTCCTGTAGCATCTATTAATTCATCCGAGCAATTCTAGGAGCTTTTATGTTATTTTTAAGCATTATTATGATCTAGTCACTAGATCAATGTGTGAAACAGCACCTGCGTTTAAGATGTGTGAAACAGCACCTGCGTTTAAGACTGATGTGAGTAACAACTCAGGAACAGGTAGACAGGAGATAGGAAATGATATGTGACATGTTAAAATGGTAATTAAGAGTAGCTACATGTTTGTAAGGTGGCAGCAATGTAGGTATATTCTTTAGCAGATAAAACATAAGGGTAAAGGGAAAAGAAATGGCACTAGTTAACGTACATATTTGGGGAAGTAAAGATGAGAATGGAGGTGTATGTAACAGTTTTACATGATTTGGTATTTGTTCATGCTTTTTTTTTGTTTGTTTGTTTATTTGTTTTTTAAAAGTGTCTTGGCTAAAGAAGAAAGGCTGGCAATTTTCCTGCATCATGAATGCTGGAATTAGAGGCATGTTAACATCACACTGTTTGGTGTTATATGTTTTCCTAAGAAATGGAAACAGTCTTCTAGATGTAAGTCAATAAAGGGCCTTTAATCTGAAATATGACAAAATCATTTTGGAAAGCGCATACTGGGGCACTTGAAGACAAAGAATCAAGATCACTAGATCAAGTGATAGAATATAGATGCCTAGTAAGTGTGAGATGTGAGACCTTGTTTACGCGCGCGCACACACACACACACACACACACACAAAGACCAAGTAGCTATTACAGTGTGAGAAGACATTGAAACTTTAAAATCAAGGCAATGGCAGTTAAAAAAAAAAACACAGAAATTAAAAAGGATTCTACCCATCAAAACCATATTGTCTCTACCTATGGGCTAATACTGTTGTGATGGTATTCTGTTATATCTTGGTTACATTTCAAACATAGAAATTTTAATTTTATCTTTTTATTCCTACAGTGTGTAGTGTCTGGTGAACATTTGCTGAAATAACAAATGCAGGGTAGGTAATGGATTCATTCACTTCAAATATATTACAACTAAGTTTATATAAAGTGAATTACAATGATCTCAAGAAGCTAGCTTTCAGCTGGTTAATTAAATACCCTTTTTTTTCTCTACTATAGAGTTGTTCAGACACTTAGACAAAAAGAAAGATCTTTGCAGACATAAGAGAGATAGTAAGTAGAGCACTGAGTAGAAATGGAAAAATGATTAGGTCTTATAGGAAAAGAAGAAAAAAACATTAAGGGTTTTTGGAATCAGTAATATTTAGAAAAGGGAAGTCTACGCAGATGACAGTTTGTACTGAGGCATGAAAGATGTAATGTATTCAGGATAAACTGAATCCTGTTTCAAAATTTAAATTTCTAGCTGAAAAAATATTAAAAAATACTTCAAAGCAATACTGTATTACTGTAGTTACAAAATGTGATGCATATTCTTAAAAAAAATATACTCATTAAGTGACTTATGTAACTGTAACACCTCTGTACATCATCTTTATAACAAAAAACTAAAAACATAAAAATATGCACATTTATAATTTTGTTAAAAAATAACATTGGGCTCTACAATTAAGTCTATTTCATGATTTTGTTATACTCTTTTTTAAACATGATTGACAAACATAACCTATGTAGACTCAAACTTGCCTTTTTTATAAGTTATAAGCAGAATTTTTTTTCTAAAAATACAAATATACATCTTTCAGTATCTAATAAAAATACACAGTATAAGAACTATTCGGGGCTGGGAAGGTGGCTCAGTGGTAGAGTATTGCTTTGCATGCATGAGGCGCTGGGTTCGATTCCTCAGCACCACATAAACAGAAAAAGCCGGAAGTGGTGCTAGGTAGAGAGCTAGCCTTGAGCTGAAGACCTGAGGGATAACTCCTAGGCCCAGAGTTCAAGCCCCATCACCAACCAAACCAAACCAAACCAAACCAAACAAAAACCAACAAAAGAACTATTCAGATTACAGTGCTGAAAAAATCCCATTTGTTTTTCTTTTTTTAAACTGTGATTAATAATTTAATTTTTATTTTTATGGCCTGTAGGTCAGCAGCACAATTAAAGCTAACAAAATGGAAGGCAGGTAGCTGGATGCTTTGGAATAGAATATTAGAAACATGTTATCTATTTTTACTTCAACTAATTTCTATAAACCAGAAAAACAAAACAACAAAAGAATACTCAACAAAATTTAACATCTTCATGTGTGAAATTCCTTACCTGATAAGTACTTCTACTAGAGACCAGGATCCTTTCATACATGTTGGACACTGAAACAACTGTAAGTAATATCTTGACATGGCTGGTGACTCCCAAGGAGGATGTAAGTGAAGAAGAGCTGACAATATATGAAAGTATCGACCAGAAAACGTATCTATATTATCCTATTATTTAAAAATAAACAAACAAATAAAACACTATACTAGAAGTACAATTTGCCAGCTAATTCAGCCCCAAAACTGAAGAATTAACTGTGGCCTAACATTGTTTTCCCATATATAGATAGATAGATAGATCTATCTATATATACATATATATATATATTTTTTTTTTTTTGGACAAAGGAGGTCAGATGGAAATGTCATGAGGCATACTTATAAACTACAAGACTATGAGTTGAGTGCCGGTGGCTCTTGCCTGTAACCCTAATTATTGACAAGACTGAGATCAAGGATCATAGTTCAACCGATGAAGGGAAGCTCTGAGATTTTTTTAAAAAAAAATAAGATTCTATCTTATTTATAGATTTAATCAGTTTTATCATTCTATCTTTTAAAAATTTTATTGTCAAGGTGATGTACAGAGAGGTTACATAAGGTAGTATGTACATTTCTTGTTGAACTTGTCACCCCCTCCCTCACTTTTCTCCCACTTTCCTTCTCCTTCAACCCCCACTTCAAGTTGCACAGATCATTTCCAACATATTGTCTTGTACTGCCTCTCCCTTTGTCTCTGTCTTATTTCTAATTCACTACCAAAACAAAAGCCCAAAGTAAAGCCATGACTCAAGTGGAAGTGCTAGCCTTGAGCAGTGACAGTGACCAGGACTGGAGTTCCAGCTCCAGGACTAGCACCAAAAAACAAAAGAAAACAAAAACAAAACAACAACTAGTATATATGGAATATCCAGTTTTTATTTCATAATATTGAGAATAATAGTTCTGAAAAGTCACTTAAGAAGCAGCAAAGGTACGAATATTTTTAGCAATATTCTAACTTACTTTGAGTCTGATATATTTTGTTTGTCTTATTTTCAAATCAATAGGTACCTCTCAACAGCCCTTCACATGGTTTACTAAGGACTATGCTCATTCTCTCTGCATAACCATGAGTGAAGTGATTACTATCAGGGTCTAATGAAGTAATTTACCAAACAGCATACTAGATCATTGAAATCTGATTTTTGTATTAAACTCTTTACTGCCATGAGAAATATCAGATTTCTTGGGTTCTGAGAAAATAGTAACAATCTTTCAGAATAGTGCCTAGATATATTTCAGAAGTAGGAAAAAAGTGGTAACATTTCCTAGTAAAATGAGAAGGAAAAATTGCTATCTTCTCTTTTTTGATAAAACATGAGCAACCCTTAAAGACTGTTCTTACTTGCAGAATGTTCTCTAGAAGAGCATGAAGAAGGCATACAGGAGGGATGTAATGTGCTTGCAAAGAAGAAAGTTCTTCAATTGCTTCATTAAAAAACTGTCCTTCTATGAGGCTTTCAATTAAATTTAATACACCTCTGGGAAATTCAGCATTCTTAATCTAAAAGAAAAACAACTGCATGATTCATAAAGGTAAAATTCTGAGATCAACTCTTGAATTATTGAGGAACTTTAATTTCCTCATCAGTAACATGAAGATAATTGCCCTTGTTACTTGATAAAGTTATGTAATTCAAAAGGCAGATGTAGCCAGGCACCAGTATTTTATGTCTGTAATCCTAGCTACTAAGAAGGCTGAGATCTGAGGATCATGGTTCAAAGCCAGCCCAGGCAAGAAAGTCTGTGAGACTCTTATCTCCAATTAACCACCAGAAAACCAGAAATGTGGCCGTGGTTCAAGTGGTAAGAGTGTTAGCCTTGAGCTGAAGAGCTCAGGGACAGTGTCCAGGCCCAGAGTTCAAGCCCCACCACCAATCCCCCCCCACCCCCAAAAAGGTTGATGTATATGATTATTTTACAAGTAGAAAGCAATGCAAAAATGTTGTTATATTTATAATTTTCAATGATCTAAAATAAGAAATATCCATCTCAAACTAAAGCATAAAAGAAATATGCAGAAATATGAGAACTATAGCTACATAGCGTTTAGGCATAAACTTATATTGTTTTTTTCCTCTGTTTATTAGAATAATCTAAATATATTAAGAGTATCAATATTTGTGAAAATTGTTAGAGAAATATAAAATCATTATTAATGATACACATTAATGTAAGTAACTCTAAAACTTTCAAAAAATTCGTCTCTGGTCAAATTACTTTTATCAATAAAAGTGACAACTATGAATTAACTGAGAAATAAAAAATATTCAGAAAGACAACATAAAATAACACCAAGTTTGAAATAATAAATAACAGAGAATAATATACTTTGGAAATACATGAAAATTGCAATCTGATAAACAAATTTCACCTGTCAAAAACACAAAGTAAAAAATTTCAATTTTTATCCTGTTTATGACTATAGAGAATTTTTGTTTTTTAGATTTGAAAGAACTATACTTTTCTTTTACATTTTTGGTTAGAGACACGTTTCAAATTAAATAGGAAATTTTGTCATGCAAGTAATACATTCCTTTAAAAATTAAAAAAATTTACTAAAAATAACCAAAGACAAAGTTTTCATCACCATCAGCATGCTACTCCAATTCCCTTACCTCTCCATTGCATACTGGCTGTTTATCTACTCTAATGCAGTTGTATCTGACAGCCTACAAAACAGTAACCATATAATTAAAAGTTAGCATGTAGAAAAATACAGTTCAGTTTAAAAGCACAAAAACTTAGCCAAACATACAAAACAGAATCAGGAATACATTAATAGCTATAATTAATCTGATACACCCACATTTGTTCAAATTAGTAACTTTCACCATTTTATGGTAATAGCACTTTTATGAGTATGAACACTTGTTTTCTCCTAAACTAGAATAACTTAAGGTCAGTTTCACTTTGAAGATATGAAAAGGTGTACTGTCCTTATTACTTTAATAATTATTACTTTTAACACTAGTTTATGTTGAGCATGATGATAATGCATGGTTTTAATCCTGGAAGCTCAGGAGATCAGGAGGATGGAGTTTCCAGGCCAGACTGGGCTAAAAATAGCAAGAATCCCTTCTCAACCAACAAACTATGTGCCAGAAATAGGTAGCAGGATAATAGTTTGAGGTTGATCTAGGCAAAAAATGTGAGACCTTATCCAAAAATATTTAAAACAAAAAAGGCTCAAGTGTTAAGTTCCTTAGGAACTTAGCAAATGTGAGGCCAAGTCCAAATCTTGGTACTGCTAAAAACAACTATAAAGAACCCTAAACAAGGGGGGGAAGGTGGCTCAGTGGTAGAGCGCTTGCCTTGCATGCATGAGGCCCTGGGTTCGATTCCTCAGCACCACATAAGCAAAAAGAAAAAAGCCGGAAGTGGCACTGTGGCTCAAGTGGTAGAGCGCTAGCTTTGAGCTGAAGAGCTGAGGGACAGCGCCCAGGCCCAGAGTTCAGGCCCCATGACCAGACCCCCACCCCCAAAAATAGAACCCTAAACAAACAAAAATCTTGGGGGTGGGGGAGGAAGGGAGAACAGTCATGTTCTCTATACAATCATAAATAAAACTTCTGTTATGTAATTGCAACCCCTCTGACAACAAATTAAAAGAAGAAATTAAAAAGAAAGGGTACTGGGGCTGGGAAGGTGGCTCAGTGGTAGAGGCTTGCCTTGCAAGCCTGAGGCCCTGGGTTCGACTCCTCAGCACCACATAAGCATAAAAGAAAAAAGCCACAAGTGGTGCTGTGGCTCAAGTGGTAGAGCGCTAGCCTTGAGCTGAAGAGCTGAGGGACAGCACCCAGGCCCAGAGTTCAGGCCCCAACCGGACCCCAAAATTAAAAAAAAAAAAAAAAAAAGGGTACTGTAAATGGGTGAATCTGATCAAAGCATAATATTCGAATGTATGTAACACCACAATAAAATCCTCTTTAAAAATTAATTTGTGTTACTAAGTAATATTAAAGCTGAGCAATATAAATCATGCTTGTACTCCTAGCTACTTGGAAGCTCACATCAGGACTGCAGTTCAAAATTAGTCTATGACAATTGTTTGTAAGATTCCACTTTAGCTAATAAAAAGCTGGGCATGCTGGGTGTGGTGGCTCATGCTTGTAATCCTAGCTACTCAGGAGGCTGAGGATCGTGGTTCAAAGCCAGTCAGGGCAGGAAAGGCTGTGAGACTCTTATCTCCAATAAACCACTCAGAAAACCGGAAGTGGTGCTATGGCTCAAGTGGTAGAGCTTGAGTCTTGAGCTGAAGAACAGTGCCCAAGCCCAGAGTTCAAGCCCCACGACCAACGGGGGGGGGGGGGGGGGGGGGGGGGGGAAGGTTGGCATTGTGGTATACTCTGTCGTCCCAGCTATGCATAAGTATAAACAAGAGGATCATGGTTCAAGCTGGCCCAAACAAAAAGTTTTATTTGAACATGTACAAGAGCAGAAGGAGCTGGGGTATGGCTCAAGTGGTAGAGTACCTACTTAGGAAGTACTAGGTCTTAAATTCAAAATCCCAGCACAATAATAATAATAATAAATAATTAACAGCAACAACATTAAAACATTTAAAAACATTCTTAGAAAATTATCTGCTAATATGATTAAGAAAAGATTCTGATTTCAGAAATTTCTAGAAACAAAGCTTTAAAAACAAGCAATCCAATGAAAAAAACCGGGAAAGATGAGTAAGCAACTGGCAGAAGAAAATCATAAATGTCCAAGAACAATAGAAAATGTGGTCTATCTTGTTACTAAGAAAAAAACAGAAGACTGATAATTCTTTGGCTTCTATTTTTTTTTTTTTTTCAGTTGTGGGGCTTGAATTCTGGGGTCTGGGCGCTGTCTCTGAGCTCTAGGCGAATGCTCTACCACTTGAGCCACAGCGCCACTTCTGGTTTTCCTAGTGGTTTATTGGAGATAAGAGTCTCAGGGGCTTTCCTGGCTAGGCTGGCTTTGAACCGCAATCCTCAGATCTCAGCCTCCTGAATAGGTAGGATTACAGGCTTGAGCCACTGGTGCCTGGCTTTGGCTTCTATTTTCAATGCATAAAACTGCTAAAAGTAATCTTACATTAACAAAAAAAACCTGAATGATCTATAAAACCATAATTTTTCTTAAGCTTATCACAGATTAAAGGTTGTGGTGTAACCAGTTAAATGGAACTATAAGACCATCAGGTATCTAGGAATATTATAGCAGTCTTTAAAAACAATTTATCTGTGACATTACAACGATATAAACAGCAGAAAACTTAACAATATGCAAAATGTCTTCACACATTACTGTTCATAATAGAAAATTAACCAAGAAATTATTTTGATATTATTATACATACTTTGGAATAACATACTGTATTTAAATATATTAAAATATAATTATAATTTGGTATACTAGAGACATGTAAGAGCATAAAAACGTTTAGTGTGCTCTAAGTTTTACCTGAGTTCTATATATATGCCTCTTTAAGGCATTTTTCATTTCAATGATATCCACATCTGTCCTGATATCCTTGGTTTTTGATTCACTGGCATAATCAGCAAAAACAGAAATCTTCATTTCTTTCTGTATACATGTAAGAAAACTTTAAAACACTGCACTGAAGATCATTGCCAATACAGATAATAATAAAAAAGAGTAGAACACATTCATACAATGTTAGCTACAGCACAAGTGCTCATAATTATTTATCAAGGTTTTATGAGAAAAACCTTAAAAAGTAAACACTTCAACTTTGTGACTTTTTATCTGATATTTACACTTCTTAAAGTCCTTCTCTTCCTTTTAAAGTGCCAGATAAAACCAAGAGCCAAATAAACACTAGATAACTGAACTATGATCTCTGCTCTTTCAAGTACTTTTTGTTTTTTCTCAGTTGTGGAGCTTGAACTCAGGGCCTGGGTGCTGTCCCTGAGTTCTTTTGTTGAAGGCTAGTGATTCTACCACTTTGAGCCACAGCTCCACTTTTGGTTTTTGAGTAGTTAATTGGCCATAAGAGTCTTATGAGACTTCTCTGCCTTCCATGGGTTCAAACCTTGATCCTTACATCTTGATCCTCACATCTTGATCCTCACATCTTAGCCTCCTAAGTATCTAGGATTACAGTTGCCTAGCTTTCTTTCAAATACTTTTCTTTTTTTTTTGGCTAGTCCTGGGGCTTGAGCTCAGGGCCTGGGCACTGTCCCTAAGCCTCTCTGTGCTCAAGGCTAGAACTGTACCACTTAAGCCACAGTACCACTTCTGGCTTTTTCTGTTTATGTGGTACTGAGGAATGGAACCCAGGGTTTCATGCATGCAAGGCAAGTACTCTACCCCTAAACCACATTCCCAGCCCTCAAATACTTTTTTTAAACTCTACTAAATCTTTTCTAATACCTCTTTTTTGTTATTGTTCCTATGTTTACCATAAATAAAACTTTTATTTAAATTTATCATTTTCTGAACTTCCTTTATTTGCTCAAATTTTTTTTTTAATTTAGAGCCTTGTGCTTTAACTGGGGATTTTACATTCATGGCTCTGTTATACCACTTGAGTCAAGTCTCTAGTTCTCAGTTTTTGCTGGTTAACTGAAGAGTTTCACAGGTTTGTCTGCCTAGGCTTGCTTTACCACGATCCTCAGATCTCAGCCTCCAGAATACCTAGGTTTGTAAGTATAAACCACCAACACCCAGTTCTGAATGTCCTTTTAAATATCTATGTCTGTCTCTGTCTGTCTGTCTGCCTGCCTGCCTGCCTGCCTGCCTGCCTGCCTACCTGCCTACCTTACCTTCTACCTACCTACCTACCTACCTACCTACCTACCTTTATATGCAGATTCCTTATCTGAAATACTTGGGACCATAAATATTCCACATTTTGAATTTTTTCAGTTTTGGAATATCTGAATATTTATAATAAAATTTCTGGAACAGGACCCAAGTCTAAACACAAATTCATTTATGTTTTATGTATATTTCACACACATACACAAATATATACAGAAACAGTTTTTTTGTGTGTGTTGGTTTTGGGGCTTGAACTCAGGATCTGGGCACTGTCTCTGAGCTTCTTTTCTTTGTTCAAGTGCAGTGTTCTACCACTTGAGCCACAGCTCAACTTAAGGCATTTTTAGTACTTAACTAGAGACCCTCAATGGACTTTCTTGTGTGAGCTCACCTTGAAGCATAATCTGCAGATCTCAGCCTCTTTGAGTACCTAGGATTATAGACCACGAGTCACTGTGCCTATGTGAGTGTAAGTGTGAGTGTGTGTGTGTGTGTGCTTGTGTAATTTTATACAATATTTTTATGCCTAGGTCCTAATTTTTATTGCAATCTATGAGTTCATGTGTTATTTTCTGCTTCATGCCACAAAATTACAGCACTGAATCCATTACAGAGTGTTGGATCATAAAACATTTTAGGGCTTGTGATATATAGATTAGGAATGCTTAACTTATAGAAACATGTTGCAGCTTAGAACATAAAGTTAAATTATATTTTCGGAATAATTTATCTAAGAAGAATCCAATTTAAAAGATAAACTTTTATTATGAGTGGTATGTACACTAGGAAAGAGCATGATTAATGACCAAATTTCTAATAGAATGCATTATTCAAATTACGTACCAAATTTTAAAATGTTTTTGATTTTTAAGAATTCAATCTGCCTTCCAAAATTTTTGTTGTTATATTCATGAAAAACAAAATTAAAATGAATATATTAATTACTAACTGAAATTTTTTTTGTATTCATTTAAAATATTTCTACTAGTGACCATGTTAATTATAACATTAATGTTAGATTAATTAAAAGAGATCCTTTCATAAGTCATATGAGTGATATTTAATGCATTAACAAAACGTAAAACTATGTTTATCTGTCTAGGTTAGATTAGGAAAAAGAAAGAGATGAATCTAAAATTTTACCTGATCTCTGTAATATATGTGCTTTTTAAAGGAACTTTTGATTGTATCATGTCCAACATCATTCTTGCCCTCAGTTTCTTTTCTGCGTTTTCTCCTCAAAGTATAATTTCTTTGAATATCTTCTTTTTTCTTTGTTTCCTTCTACACATATTTTTACAATTATATAAATTACAATATGAATTATACATGCTACAAACCAAACAAACTCAAAAATAGTAAGTTACAATACAATAAAAAAGCCTTAAAAATAGGAAATTTACTGTTGTAATGTTTATTTTTAAGAACATTTAGGTGAAGAGTTGAGCTTTACCTAGTATAGATGAACATGCCCCATATTTTCTATCCTAGGAGTAAACCTTAAGCTAGAGAAATGCCCAAACATGCATATCAAGATTCACATGAGAATGTGCATTGTTCATAATTTCATAAACCAATCAACCAACAAAAGAATCTCAAATTCTTATCAGTAATCGAGGACATAATTGTGATACTGTCAAACAATGAAATAAAGATAACAGCAAAAAATGTCTATAAATTGTATGAAACAAAATATTCATATATGTAAATAACATGATATATTGTTTGGAATAAACTCAACTGGTAAAATTATAATGAAAAACAAGAAAATTATTAACACAAATTCTAAAATACAGAATAATTTGGGTAAAAAGAAGGGAAGGACAGAAAACATTCTTCAAACTCTAGTAATGCTATTTTTTTAACAGTGGGTACAAAAACAGTCATTTTAATCTATGTTTTTGAAAGTCTACAAGACATCTTATAAATATATTTGCATATATAATTCTCAAGTAATTTGATCACTCACTATATTTGATAAATATAGAAAACAGTTGGGGAATATACATATATTTATTTTAAATTTGTAGAATTTTTACCTGATTTCCATATGTATGCCTTTTGAAGGTATTTCTCATTTTAACAAATTTCAAATCTTTACTGGATTCTCTGAATTTTTCTTTTTTATGATGTTCATGTAAAACAGAACTACTATTAACGTCTTCATCATGATTTTGTATTTCTTTCTGCATGTTTATAAAATTACTTTTAATTAGACTGGATTAAACAGACCCTCAACAAAAACAATGCAAATCACAACAAAAAAAGTCAAAAAGATAAATGCTGTGAAACACATATACAAGAATATAAAAAGCAAAAGTGTCCTGTGAGTTACAGTACACATTATACCAGATGAAGCAGAAAGATTCACTAGGGCTTTTACTAAATTTATATCCTCACTTAATTTTTGTTTACCTGTATGCATAATACAGAGAGAGTAAGGAGTATTTCAAACCATTTTGCTTATTCACTAAGAAATTTAATTTAGAAATAAAAATTCTGAAGTTTTATATACATCGCAGAGGCACTTTAATAAATTCATCAGTTTATAGTTCTTTCTATATCTAAACATGTCAGCCAACAAAAAATTAATAAAAATGTCAACTCAAAAATCCTTTTGTTAAAACATGTTCATGAGATCATAGAATAGTCTGTGCTTTGGAATAGTCAGGAAAAAAATATAAGAAGTATTTTCTGCCTCGAAAGTTCTAGAAAATCTTACCATATATGATTTCTTAAAGAATTATGCAATTTAAAAGGTTCTAAATTATTCCTAATTTTTTTTCAGAAGTAATTTTGGGGCTGGGAATGTGGCTTAGTGGTAGTGCTTGCCTAGCACGAATGATGCCCTGGGTTTTATTCCTCAGCACCACATACACAGAAAAAGCCACAAGTGGTGCTGTAGCTCAAGTGGTAGAATGCTAGCCTTGAGTAAAAGAAGTTGTAGGAGTACCCAGTCCCTGAGTTTTTAAATTTTCTTTCTTGTTACAATGAAGTATTTTATTTTAGACTAATGTAAGTTAGTGATCATTTTTAATGATTGAATAAATTAACTACAGTACATTTATAAATCAAGGTATGAAACTAAACATAAACTAGTAATAGCTCTTCTATGAGTACAACCAATAATGCCATTTCTTTGCATATTGCAAATGAAAAATGTATTTGATAATTACTGTGTCCTCTGTTCTTTTTGTTTATCTTCTTTTTTAATATATATTTTTATTGTAAAGATACTGTACAAAGGAATTATAGTTATATGAGTAAGGTATTGAGTACACTTCCTATCAAGCATTATTACCCCCTCCTTTGTTTTTCCCTACCGTCCCTTCCCTCCCCACCTTCTTCCCCCTCCCCCAATTTATTTTCAATGGTAACAAAAATTCAGTTTTTTCAAAGTTTGTTTCTACATAATGTAAATACTTGAATTTAGGTGTTGAATTATGAGTACACAGAAGGTTAAAAAAAAGCTTTATAGAACATCACAGTAAAACATACAGGGGAGTTTTAAGTAATTACTTTGTGCTGAGAATATAGTACATATGAGGGATTTTGTTTCTTTATATGATATATATGTATATATGTATGTGTATGTGTATATATATATACATATATATATATATATATATATATATATATACACAACAAAAGTTCCTACAGATATTTTCTATAGTAATTTTCTAGTATGCTCAAGTCAGACTAAAGATACAGGGTTCAAATATTAAGCTTCTAGATGACCATTAATATTATTTTCATCAAGTATAGACTCTCAAACAATTCTGTATGAAAAACCAGAAAGGTACACTATTGGACCTATGAGATTTTACCTGGGTTCTAGACATGGTCTCTCTTAAAGCACTATTTATTTCAAGAAACCTCATATCATTCCCAAAATCTTTGCTTTTTTCTTGATTGCCATGTTCAGTCCAAAGAGATTTGGTTTGGGAATCTTCATTATTCTGAATTTCTTTCTGTATGTATGTATAAATGTTTAAAACAATTAATTAAGTATAATTTCAACATTATAAACACCTTACAGTATTCACCTTAAATAATAATATAATACTTAAATAAACAAGTATATATGACATACCCATCCAAAACAGATTTATTGAACACTGGTAAAAATCTTTCAAGGAACCAATTACTATAGAAAAAGTTCTGAATAACAAATTAATTTTTGTATGTTTCAAGGTTAAGTTTTGTCTAGTAATAAGTATTTTTAATAATGAAGATAAAAATATTTTATGTAGTCATTATGCAAGCTAAAGTCATAATCTACTTTAAATTTTTTTTAGATGTATGAACTGAAATTTGGTAGATTCAAGGGAAAACTCAAATAGTCTAATCACTTAGAAAGACAAAGTTAAAGTTAAGCAAAATCAAACACCAGGAAGTAGTATTTGAAAGGATAACGGACAGGGGTTGATAAATGAAAAGGCAAAGAGAAGAAGAAGGCAGTCAGGAACCCAATGCATATCCTACAAGATTAAGAAGAGTAAGGAAGAGGTAGTTAGGGGGATGAGAATGTTGAAAAGGGTGAAACTGATCAAGTATACTGTATTCATAAACTGATTTGTTAAATGGCAACTCCTTTGTACAACTATTTAAATTTAAAAAAACAAACAGAAAAACTGTCAGATTATTGATAGAATTATAGACAGATTGTTTCTTGGATTACTTTTCTCAGTTGTTAATGACAAGAATTACCACTTGTAAGATAGCAATTCTCTTGAAAGAAAAAACATAAATAATTTTATCTATACATCTGCTGTCTATAGTGTTGACTTAATACTATAGGTAGTAAAACTCATGGTCAAAGAATGGCAACTACTAAGACTTTAAATTATTTTGATCTGTGTTGACATCTCACAGAACAAGCTTGTCAATGGTTCTCTTTTTTGAATGAGGAACACTCTCAGCTCTTACATACTTCTTTCCATGTCTAATTGACTGAAATGATTCAGTTCGTTCCTAGACAAATTGCTGTGAAGGAAAATGACATTATCCATAGTCCAAGTAGATCCATTCCTTGAACTAAGGTAAAATTCCCAATCTACATAGAAGATACTCACTAGAGAAAGGTAATTATAGAATGATATATTACACATATCCTTTGAAGACTCAAAAGGCTTTTACAATTTCTCTCTTAATCTAACAATTAAATGAGAACCCATTTTCCAGGCTCTATGTAAAGTGATTATGATATATTAAAGATAGATGTTATCTTTCATGTTGAGAAGCTTTAAGTAGGGAAATAATAGTTAATTAGTTAATCACATGTTAATTTTAAGTATTATGAAACAAAAAAGCTATAAAAAAGGCTACGTAGATGAATCAAAAGTATCAAAAATACTGATCAAGGGGTCAACTGGATTTCTTTAAAAGGCCTCAACAGAAATATGAACAATGAAGAAAAAGCAGAAAGCAAAGGGAGTAAAATAGTAGGAAAGACTTTTTAGGCAGAGAAAATACATTTGGGAACATACCTAAGTAAGAAGTGGCTTTTCTGTTAAGAAACTGACAGGGAATTTTTGTTACAGCACAATGAACAGAAAAAAGCAGTGGACCAGGGGAATAGTTGAAAAGGTAGGAGGAAGAGAAATTCTGTAGAAGTTGTAAATGTTAAAATATTTAAGAACTGAGGGTTATGGAAAGTTATTGAAGGGTTTTAACTAGGGAAATGACAGATAAGAACTACTTCATAAAAATTTTTGAATAAACTAGCAAAGAAAAAGGCAGGTGTAATTAATAAAAATGTAGAGTATTTGGTATATGCCAGGAGCAAAACATTATGAATTTAGTATGTTGTTGATACAGAAAGGTCAAAATGGTCTGATTCAAGAGACATAGGGTTTAGTAGTTGATAAGATGTGAGGAGTTATGGAAAGAAAGGCTTCAAGAGTTACTTCAGGTCTCTAACATAAAGTATTAAGTAAAAAAATGAAGTATCTATTGAAAAAAACATAGTGAATAAAATTGTTCTGAATTAAGGTTGGTTTTAGACATACTAGAGATGTCTTCTAGAGTTTGATTCATTATCCAAAAACTTGAAAATTGGTATTTGTATCAAGTAGGGAGATGGAGATAGATGGAAAAGGTAGAAAAATATAAGCCCTTAAAATACCTTTCCTTTCCAAAGGGAGGGGAAAAAAAACTTTTGAAATAATATTTTGCTGCTATTTTATTATATTCTGATATTAAAATGCTCAAAATTATTTTGATGTATATACCACTAAAGCACTAAAAACAGAAGTAGAAACTCAAGATAAGCTTCTTTCAAATCTGCAAGAGGTATTCTTGAATGTTTAAGTAACTTAAAAATTATTTTACTTCTAATTATGATTGTTTTCAAAATTTGGAACTTAGCTTCCTTCTTGTTATGGCTCCATAAAGAACACAGTGTAGTACCTATTTACATAGCATCTACAATCTCTTAGTCTTTACAGTAATCTAGAGGTGGTTTAAAATATACAAGAAGATATATATATATATATATCTTCATGTATATATATTTAGAGAGAGAGAGAGAGACAGAGAGAGAGAGACTATATGCAAATATTGGGCCATTTTATATCTAAGGGACTTGAGATATGAACATTTATGGTTTTTGCTATATGAAGGGTATCCCTGAAATCAGTCCCTTGGCAAAACAGAGGGATGACTGTATTTTACTATATTACTACTTTATAAACATTTAACAATGTCTACTATTTAGTTTACTCACCTCTAAAAGAAAATCCCCTAGATACTGAATTGGATAAAATGGAGCCTTAAAGTTATCTTTTTCTTTCTCAGCATTGATTCTTGCATTACTGGCAATCACATGAGTTATTCCACTTGGTGAACTTTTTGGTAAAATAATATTTGCTTTTCCCGCCTCCAAAACCCTAAATAAAAATGTAAAAAGTGTTTTAGAAAAATTGTCTATTAGTCAAATTATCTGTATCAATGACTTCCTAAGGGACTAGGATCTAATTCTTTAAAGTATTAGATTCTTCAGCACAGATGTTATTTTTACTTACCCATATTGATACAGGAAAGGATTTAAAAAATCAAGAATATTAACTTACTTCCCACTGAAATAGCAGTAAGTCAGAAGAAAAACAAAGGAAGTTCAAGGAAGCAGCTTACCCAGGAAGGCAACGTATCTTCACAAACTCATTCTGGACCACAGAAGATAAAACCAATCAGCAAAATCCTCTAAAAAGCTTAAAAACTTTAACTCTTAAAATATTTGGGCTGGGGAAGTGGGGTTGTAGCTCAAGTGGTAGAGCGCTAGCCTTGAGGTGAAGAGCTGAATGACTGCGCTCAGGCCCAGAGTTCAAGCCCCACGACCGACAAAAAAAAAAAAAAAAAAAAAAATATTTGGGCTGGATCTAAAATATACTTGGAACTCAAAAAATTAAATTCCCCAACAACAAATCCTCAAAGAAACAACTGCCCAATAAAGACTTAAAGAGAAACTTCTCTGAAGAGGAAAGAAGGATGGCCAATAGACACATGAAGAAATGCTCAACCTCCCTAGCCATAAAAGAAATGCAAATCAAAACAACATTGAGATACCACCTCACCCCAGTTAGAATGGCTAAAATCAAGAACTCTAACAACAACAGATGCTGGAGGGGATGTGGTCAGAAGGGAACCTTACTGCATTGTTGGTGGGAGTGTAAACTTGTTCAACCACTTTGGAAAGCAGTATGGAGGTTCCTCAAAAGACTCCACATAGGCTCAAAAGACTCCCCTATGACCCAGCAATCCACTTTTGGGCATTTACCCAAATGTTTACAAACAAGACCACACTAAAGCTACCAGCAGCACAACTATGTTTATTGCAGCATTATTTACCATAGCTAAGATATGGAACCAACCCAGATGCCTCTCAGTAGATGAATGGATCAAGAAAATGTGGTATATATACACAATGAATTCTATGCCTCCATCAGAAAGAATGACATTGCCCATTTGTTAGGAAATGGAAAGGCTTGGAAAAAATTATATTAAGTGAAGTAAGCCAGGCCCAAAGAAACATAGGTCCCATGGTTTCCCTTATTTGCAATATCTAGTATATCTCTGAATCAAGCAGAAAAGGTCAGATAAGTTGATGTTAGGGAAATGAACCCTAAGATATGTATTCAAATGTTTTTGTTCTTTCATCCCTCCCCCACAGTATAGCCCCTGCTTTCACTGTATTTGATGTCGGTATAATTTGTGGAGGGGAAGGGGAAAAAAAATCGTTTAAATAGGGATACAGGTGGACCCATTGCAACAATGAGATGTACAAGTCGTTACGTCGAAAACGAACTTTACAACTTTGGTGCGGGGGGGGGGGGGGGGGGGGGGGGGGGGGAGGGAGGGCAGGAAGGGTGGGGGGGAAGGATGGGAAGGGGAAACAAAGGAAGAAGCTACAATGCTTGATAAGAAATGTACTTATTATCTTGCCCATGTAATTGTAACCCCTCTGTACAGTATTTTCACAATAAAAAACAAATATTTGGGCTGGAGACATGGCTCAAGTGATACATCACCAGCCATGTAAGCAAGCTGGTCAGCATGAAGCATTGAGTTTAAGTCCAAGAATCAGCCAAAAATAAATAAATACATAAATAGTAACCTTTAGTTTTTCTTTAGACTTAGAAGACAAAAACACACATATCAAGAAGATTTCAAGAAGTTCTGCTGCTGTTTAAGCTTTACACTACTATCTAACAATAAGAAAAAGCCAAATGATCTTCAAAGTCATTATTTTCCTGGCATTCACAAGATAACCAAGATAAGAAGTCAATCAAGTAAGCTGATTTCCAAAGAGTAATGAGCCCCTTTATGAAAAAGACTGGCTATCCAAATGATTTCACTTTTAGCAGAAAGAAGTAGCTGTCACTACAGTACATGAGAATTTGGTAAAACTTTTAAAACATTTAAAGGCAGAGTATAGCTAATATGACAGGTTAGAAAACTGACACAGACCTTCCCTCCCCCACTCCCTGGCATCATTCACAAACTCTGCAACAAGCCTCAATTAAATGCTCATGAAAAAAAATGGGGGCAGCCGGATGCCAGTGGCTCATGCCTGTAAGCCTAGCTATGCAGGAGGCTGAGATCTGAGGACTGTGGTTCAAAGCCAGCCTGGACAGACAAGTCCGTGAGACTCCTATCCCCAGTAAACCACCAGAAAACCGCAAGTGGTGATATGGCTCAAGTGGTAGATCACTAGCCTTGAGCTCAAGAGCTGAAGGAGAACATCTAGGCACCACAACCGACAGACAATAAAATAAAATAAAATAAAATAAAATAAATTGGGGCAGTTAAAAGAGAACCTGCTAGGTAGGTACAGGTGGCTAGTGAGAACTGGATATAACTGAAATATAGACACAAGAGCATTTTCCTTTTCTTCTCTCATACAAAGCAAAAGCCTTTAGATATTTGGAGAATAAGATTCTTCCCTCCTCATACCACAGCAGGGAAAACACATTGCTTTTCTTGGAATGATAGAAGGTATAGGAAAACCTCCTGCTTCCCAGTCTAGAAAAAGACCCCATTGTTCTTAAACAACAAAAAGCCAAAATTATTTATACCAAAAAAGTGATAAAACTGCCACTTAGGGCTAGGACCTCCTAATCAACAAACAGCAGAGGTCTAATATTGGGGGCAAGGACCCTCTGAAACAAGGCAGTATTTGACTAGGTGGGGGGGGGGGGGGAATGAATTGCACAAATAAAAACGCAAATGCTAACATGGCCTGAACCTCATGGACCAATAAATAATAGAGAATGCTTATGACTGAAGAACTGAAAATATAACAATCTAAACCCTTGGCAGAAAAATGATCACAAGGCAAAGAGCATTGAGAGTCCATATGTAATCAAGTATTATGTAAAAGATTGTTGAAAGGGGAAGGTAAAACATAGACAGATGGTAGATCCGAAGTCCACATTAAGCACAAAGAAACTAGAGTCTGCTACTGTAAGGTAAAGTCATTCACCAAATGAAATTGTACCAATAGCAAAACTCAAACCCACCCCAACCACTGATAAGATTAGATAAACAGCCTTACAAAAGAAGTAGGCTAACTTTGGATATGAATATTATTCACTCCAGCCTGTATTACTGTACATTCTTAAGATGTCTGGTATACAACAAAATGTAGGACCAAACATGTTGACAAATGCCTAGAATCTCAGCTATTTGAGCAGTAGAAATCAGGAAGACCACAGTTCGAAGCAAGCCCAGGCACAAATATGGGCAAGACTCCTAGCTTACAAACACAGTGGGTATGATTGTGTACAACTATATCCAAGTTCTAATGGAGGCACAGAAATATCAAAGGAAGATCACAGTCCAAGGCTGGTCCCAAGCAAAATAATGTGAGACCCTATCTTCCTTCTCACCCCACCCAAAAATAACTAAAGCAAAAAAGACTGGTTTGAGGTAGAATGTCTGCCTAACAAGGCTTTGAGATCAAACCCATGAAAAAAAATAGTAGTAAAAAGTATAAGACATACACAATGGGGCAAGTAAACCCCAAAATCATTATTAAGAAGAAATCATAGTACACACTAACACATGATGCAGATGTTACACCCAGCTTGAAGGGCTGTGTGTAGAAGTCAAGTCATAGAGTGGTTGTTTGGCATTTAGAAGGCCACGAATTTTCCCATGCACCAAACATTAAAAATGTTTGGCTCTCTAGAAGGTTTCCTAAACCTGCCTTTTCAATTTCTTTATGGAAGTTTAATTACATAGGCATTAGTAAATTCTTAACTTACTTTCTGAATAGACTGTTTTCCAATCAAAAGACATAAAATAGCCAATGCAAAACAACAAAAACCAAAATATTTTTAACCAAAGTATATGTTACCTATTAGGGTAACATTCAACATTTAAGACCACACTTTGAAAACAAAGGAATACAAAAGGATAATTAATACAAATAGAAAACAAGAGTAAATATACTCATTATCAGACAAGAGAGACTTCAAGTAAAAAACTACACAAAAAGACAAAGATCATTATACAATAATTAAGGGGTCAATTAAGAGTCTGTAAGAAAATATATGTATTGAATCTTAGAGCATCTAAATACCTAAAACATATAGTGAAAGATCTAAAGAGAGAGAGAAATTATAATTATAATACAGTATTACAGTAGAAAACTTCAATGTACCATTTGCAACCATGGACACATAATTCAGACAACTTTAAACAGCTGAACTTCAATTATACTTTAGACCATATTTACCTAAAAAAAATATTAAGAACATTTCATTCAAAAGCAAAAAAATCGTTCTTCTCAATGTAAACAGAACATTTTCTCATACAGATCTTATTATGCAACAAAAGAAGTTTGAATAAACCTTAGAAGACTAAAATCATATCAACCAACTTTTCTGACTACATCAATTTAAAAAATTAGAAAATCCACAAATAAGGAAATTAAACAACATAAGCCAGATCAATGGATTAAATCCGAAATAAAGAAATTAAAAAAAACAACATTAAAGACAAAGGGCTAGGGATAGATATTATGTGAGGCCCTAAGGTCAATACCAAGCATTACAAAACAAGAACAACAACAACAAAACTTTTGAGACACATCATAGTGGAAACAATACACAGAACTTACAAATTTTCCAGTTAACCTAATGCTACCCCTTAAGAAAGAGCCTATTAAATCCAAAATTAGCAAAACAAAATGAATTATGAAGACCAGAGCATAAACACTAAAACTGGATAAAAGAGATTAGCATTGTGAAAACTTGTAACCTCAGCTTTCTGAGTCAGAAGGGTCATGAGTTATAGGTGAGCCTGAGACCATTAAAAGATCCTCTGTCAAAATCAAAGAAATAAACAACAAAACAGAGACCAGAAAAGAAAAAATGAAACCTGGTCTTTCAGTTTATGAAAAGTTAAAAATGATAATTATGCATATTAAGAAAAAGAGAGTAAAGAAAAAAAGGACCAAGTTCAGATGAAATAAAAACTACAAAAATATGAGAGACTATAGTGAATTTAGAACACCAAACAATATGTGTACATTTTATATAGATAAAACCTACCAAGACCAATTCATAAAAAATTGGAACACCTAAACAGACTAGTAACTAAAAATGAGATTTAATCAATAATAAAATAAGTCTCCCATCAAAGAAAAGCCTGGATCTAACAGCTTCACACTTGTATCCTACTAGTCACAAAATGAATATTACTTCTTTTCAATCTCTTTCATAAATATTGACAGGGAGAAAATTTTCAAGCATTCCACAAGGTCATTATTATCTTGATGCCCTATCAGAAAAGAACACAATGAAAAAAAAACAAACTATGGGCCAGCATCCTTATTGAACACCAATGCAAAATCTTCCAGAAAGCTCTAGGAAACTGAATTCAACTGAAGATTATAAAGATCATTTACCATGATTAAGTAGGAGTCATCCTGGGACTTCAAGGATGGCTCACCAATTGCAAATCAAATCAATAAACATGTTATGTCCTGTCAACAGAATAAAGGACAAAATCATACGATCATTTAAATGGATTTTAGAAAGAATAGTTTAAAACATTTGATATCTTTCATGATAAAAATTCTCAATAAACTAGATAGAGTGGGAACATACCTCAACACATAAAGGCTAACATTATACTAAACAGAATGAAACAATGGTTTTCTTCTGTGATCTGGAACAAGACCCACTACTTTCATTCAACATGGTACTAGAAATCACGATCAGATCAATGAGGTAGGAGAAACAGCATTTAAGCTGGAAAGAACACAAACTTCCAGCTTGCAGAGAAAATGACCTTATATAGAGGAAACTTTAAGGATACCATCTAAAACTTACTAGAAATAGTAAATTAACTCGTTAAGGTTGCAGAATAAAAAAATCAGCATACAAAAATCAGTAGTGTATGTATGTGCTAATAGGGAATTAAATGAAAAAATTATCCCACTTATAAGTTACAAAAAAAGAAGACAAAATAAACTTAACCAAGGTGGTGGAATAGAAACAATGATAAAAGAAATTAAAGAAGAGTCAAGATTCAAGTAAACAGAAATATCTTCTTGTTCCTAAATTGGAAGAGTACTATTAAAATGTCTATACTACCCATGTACACATTCAATAAAATCTCTTTCAAAATACCAATGACATTGTTCACAGAAATTAAAAATAAATCCTAAAACTAATGAAACCACAAAAGATCCTGAATATCCAAAGTACTCTTGACTACAAAGCACAAAGCTGAAAAGTATACTACTTGATTTCAAAATATACTACAAAGGAACAGTTACATACTGTACCTTTGGCATTAAAATATACACTTGTATTAAAACCAACACACAGACTAGTGGATCATGTTAGAGCCTGGAAACAGATACATTTATGGCCAAGTCATTTTCAACAAAGGTGCCAAGAAAATTCAATAGGAAGAGGACAAGCTCTTCAATAAAAGAAGGAAAACTCAATATCCAAATACAGAGAAATGCAATAAATCCTATGCTATATTAAAAAATAACAAAACCAATCCAAAATGAATCAAAGACTAAACTATTAGAAGAATACATAAGAAATGCTTCATGACATTGAGCTGGACAGTGATTCTTTTGGATATGACCTCTAAAACACAATAAGTTAAAAGCAAAAAACTAGACAAATCAGATTCCATCGAACAGTAACTTCTTCACAGCAAAGGAAATTAACAAAGGGAACAGACAATACATAGGAATGTTAAGTATAATCTGGGTTAATGACTGGAATTAAATGAACAAACATTTCTCAAAAAACCAATGGCCAAAGATGTTTAACATCACTCCTCAGGGAAATGTGAATCAAAACTACAATGAGGTATAGCCAAAGATGTTTAACATCACTAATTAGGGAAATGTGAATCAAAACTACAATGACAGGTGCTTTAACACCTGTTAAAACACTATCCAAAAAAAAAAAAAAGTAAATGCTCACACTCTGTTTGGGGGAATATAAATTAGTGCAGCCATTATGAAAAAGAACATGAATATTATAACTACAATATAATAAAAATCCCATCACTGGCTATATATCCATATGATATGAAATTGTCGAAGAGCTATCTACAGTCCCATGTTTATTACTCTATGATTCACAATAGCTAAGACACAGAATAAACTCAAATGTCCTTCAAATGATGAATGGACAAAGAAAATGTGGTATATAAACTCAGTGGAATTCTAATCAGCCAAGCCATAAAAAGAATTCCTTCACTTGGATGAAACTAGAGAATGTTAAATGAAATAATACACAGAAAGACAAAGACTGCATTGTTTTAGTCACATATTGATCACCTAGAAATAAAGCAAGACAGTAGTTACTTGAGATTTGGGTTATAGAAAGGTAGAAGGATATGAGGATATTTTAGTGAAAGGATTGAGAATGCAGATGAGTGATTGATTGCCAGGTCCATCACAGCAGATGATTTTCAAGGTAAGGAGAGTAGGGAGGGGAGTAAAGAATGAATAACCATTGATTGTTATGTACCTTTTGCATAATGACAGTGTGCTTGCTCTGGCAGCAGATATGTTAAAACTGGAATAATAATGTTCAAATAGTAGGTTGATTATAGAATAAAACTTTAATGATAAAAGCCAAAATACTTGGAAAGACACATGGTCCACAGATAGGAATGCTCAATAAGGTTGTTTTCTCCACTGTGAACAGTATAGGAAAAAAAAAAAAAATCACAAAATCTAAACTTCCCTGTTAATAACTGGCAAGGTGATTCTAAAATATGTATGGAAACACAAAGGACCCAGAATTATCAAAATAGTGATTTCATGACTTACTACAGCGTGACCGAATCAGTGTGGTGATGTATCAGTATCAGGTGGGCATAACAGAAAAATCATATAGAACAGAACATAAAATCAAGAAAAATATTACACATATATGGTTAAATGATTTTTCTCTCCTATACTACTATTGGAAATGGAAAACAGTGCAACTGCTTTGGACAATAATTTGGTATTTTCTTACAATGTTAAATATACAATTACCATCTGAAATAATAATTTCATTTCTAGGGGCTGGGAAGGTGGCTCAGTGGTAGAGTGCTTGCCTTGCATGCATGAGGCCCTGGGTTCAATTCCTCAGCACCACATAAGCAAAAAGAAAAAAGCTGGAAGTGGCGCTGTGGCTCAAGTGGTAGAGCGCTAGCCTTGAGCTGAAGAGCTGAGGGACAGCGCCCAGGCCCAGAGTTTAGGATCCAGGACCAGGCCCCCCCCCCCCCCCCCCCCCCCCCCCCCCCCGCCCAAAAAAAAAATTTATTTCTAGATTTCCTAAGACAAATGAAACCAAGTCCACATGAATACCTGCAATCAAAAGCTTCCAAATGACCACCAAACAGCCTATCAACAGTGATATTTCTATATGGTGGAATACTACTAGCAACAAGAAATTAACTATTGAAACATTCAACAACATGGCTAAATCTCTATTATGTAAGGCAAGTGATGCTATATCAAAGGAATATATTCACTTTGTTCCTATATGTATAAATCTCAGGGGAAAAATAGACAAATGTAATCTGTAGTGACAAGAAGGAAACCATTATTGTTGGTCCAAAACTTGTATTGTTGGTCCAAAATTAAGGGAACATAGGATACAAGTATATTGATATAGTGAGGCTAATATGGATGTATAAATTTGTCCAAACATCAAAATGTACACTTAAAATGGAAGCTTTTCACTATCTATAAATTATACTTGTGTAAAGGAGTTGGCCAAAAGAAATAACATGTACACTAAAATAGTGAACACCCAAATATTCTAAATACTAGAAGATAGATTTTGTTCTATTAGATACATATGTTTACATAAAGGATTGCCTAAGAGATCAAAGAATAAATCACTATAGTTCATTCTGACTGTTAATTGAAAAAAAAAGTCAAAGGGCAATTTTGTGCCAACACCGTTTTTCCATTCATTTCCCTGGAATTAATGAGATTTCATCCTACCTTACAAGAGAATCACTGCGTTTATCAGCTCTCACAAGGAGGACAACTTTCCATCTGTGGAAAGCTCCTGGAGCACCAGTGCGCTTTAGCTCTTCACGCCATCTTTTAGGGGCAGACTGCATTTGAGGTGAAAAATGAGAATCCTTTTCAATTTTATATCCCCATTCATAAGTCGTCTCATCAAGCCACCTGCCACTTCTGGCACTATGAATTATGTAGTCCTTAGTCAGAACCCACTTTCCTGAAAAGAAATGAACAGTTCATCACAGAAAGAATTTTGGTTCTGATAAATAATAAACAATAAAGATCAAATCAAATCAAAGCCAACATTTTCAACATGTAACAATTATGCTGCCAACATTACCTCTGAACTACATTTTGAGAATGAGGCTTTTTATCATCACTGAACATTGTATGTAATTGTTTCTTTTTCAAATAATTACAAGTGTTACTAAGTGAATATAAATCTAAAGCTTTAAAATCCAAAAATATAGTAGTATCTGAATCATTACTCATTTGCTATTTGTATTACATTTATATTTTTCCTCCTATGCTAAGAATTTTTTCAATAATGTCCACAGCATCATTACGGATGTTAAATTTGTTTATAATTTTCATAGAACAACATTCTGTAGTTTGAGTATCAATAATATTTTATTAATCAGGGAAATGCATGCTATCATTTGTGAAGTTAACAATAAATCCACATAGTTTATTTGACAAATTAATTTTTAAAAAGTAAGCTTTCCTAGTTATATACACTTAAAAACTTGTTTTGGAAATCAGTAGACTACAACATCAACCATAGTAGAGAAAGACATAGTAATATTAATGATGACAAAGGAGACAGTAGGACTACGTCCTAAACAAACTTAGTATATAGTAAACTAAGAATGACTATTGCTTCATATCAAAGAAAGGAGAGGAACAGCAGAAGGAGAACAAAAACACCGATTCCTTGCAATGACAAGATGAAGGAAAAGGAACATGAGAATAACTAAGTCATCAAAAGAAGCTTATTCTTTTGTCTTTTATGTCAATCTTTCCGTTAAAGTGTTTTCTTCTTAGATGTACACACTAAATCTCTGGCAAATTATTATTTCTATTTACTATATTTTTATGAGTTTTATAATTTTATAAATTTATTTATTTTATAAATTCATAATTACAAAATTTTACTCAGAGGAAAAATAAAGCAAAAATGCATCAAATTTTCATTAAAACAAATTTACAGAAAACAAATTTACATTTGCTATAATAAACATGCTAACTTTCTAGGAACTAAGGCACTTTATCTTTAGCATTTAACATGAAGTTTTTTTCAGGGGCTAGAGAAAGGTGGTTTACCTACCTGCTGCACAAGCTGCTAAAAATTTTTCACTCTTGCACAGGCGTTCAGCTATAAGATGTGTACAATTTTTATATTTCTGAAGGGGAAAAATTCATGTGAAGAATATTACTAATGTGATATTTACTTAATAACACATACTATTCTTACAATTATCAAGTGACACTATATCATTCTTAAGGCAATATTTTAATTCTATTTTTTCAGCTACAATGAACATTTTGAAAGATTTTAGTACTTACCTCACTCTTAATAAAAGTGCAATCTAGCTTTAAAAGCAATTTTCCTAGAGCTTCCTTTTCTTCCATCTTAAATCCTGTCATTTGGATGATATGCTTTGGGGCACCATCTTCCATCTAACATAAACCCATGCAAAAGACAACAAATGTTAAAGTTCACTAAGTTGAATTATTTTTCTTAAATTTCTTAAATTTGAGTGTCTTAAATAGGGATTAAAATTAAATGTATAACAAATTGAACATGTAAAGCTTAACTGTGTGAAAGAAGAAATAGTTTTAAAAAGTGATCTTTGTAGGACACTGGTAGTTCATGTATGTAATCCTAGTTACTCAAGAAGCTGAGATATCTGAGGATGACAGTTCAAAGAACTTGGGCAAGAAAGCATGTGATACTCTTATCTCCAAGTGAATGTCCAAAAAAACTCAAAAGTGCAGCTGTGGTTCAAGTGCTTCACCTTGAGCTCAGGACAATGCTCAGGTCCCGAGTTCAAGCTCTAGAATTAAAAAAAAAAAAAAAGAAGAAGAAGAAGAAAGAAAAGAAAAAGAAAAAAAAAGTGATCTTCTCAGAATGTGACCTTAAAATGAAATTTTCTTCTGGACACTGAAAGCTTGCATTACTCTATTGCCTGTCACTACAATAATAAGATAATTCTTGGGGGGAAACAAAACAAAACCCAGCTAGTTATTAGCCTGATACCAGCCTTACTTTTAAAGACTTTTGTATGTATGAGTGCATGCGTCTGTGTGTGTTTTCATGTGAGGATATTTGAATTCAGGACCTCAAGCTTGCTAAACAGATAGTTAAAGTTGATTCATATCTCAAGCTTTGATTTTTTTGCTCGATATTTTTGAGACTGGTATACCAGGGCAGAAATCTATCTATGGTCTAACAATCCAGTTGTTAGACTTCCCAGTAGCTAGGACAACAGGTGTTCTCTACCACGTCTAATTCCCCTCTCAGAAAGAATCTGGTTAACTGTTCTTCCAAGCTATCCTTAAATCACAACCCTAGCTTCCCAAATAGTTAGGATTATAGGGTGAGCCACTAGAGTATTATTTTTTTGTTAAGAGCTTTTGAAACATACAGACTGTGGAAAAGAATCTTATGCTGATTTTTAAACAGTCTGTAGGCACATGTTTATTTTTATTAGCATAAATTGTAAAAACGAGCTTCATTGTAACTTTTACAGCATGCATATAATGTCCTCTGATCAAATTCTATCCATATTACATTCTTAATTTCTCTTATGTTCCCCTTCTCTAGTTTTTGATGGATTTTATTATAATGTCCTCTGATCAAATTCTATCCGTATTACATTCTTAATTTCTCTCACGTTCCCCTCCTTTAGTTTTTGATGATTTATTTTGGTACTTACACACACACACACACACACACACACACACACACACACACACACAGAACAATGTACAATGTATTCCTATTACATGCACCCTCTTCTAGCTCCTTCCCTCCTACTCATAAATCCTTTTCCCAAACAGTCTCCTTTTGCAATCATGGCATATTATTTTTAGGCCTACTTTTTTATGTACAAGCCACTGGAGAAGTTGATAGCACTAATTCTATAATACTTCTAAATAATATAGTTTTATTTCTAATTTACATTTCTTAACTTTGCTACAAATACACACACAAAAACTTACATATATAAATCATCAATTACAAGGTATACTGAAAAGCTACATAGCCTTTTCTAGAGGAACCCTAATCCATACTTAAATATACATGTAATTTGTTTTAATATAACACAAAGTGTTTCTAATTAGAAAGTCAACTTTAGTAATTTGAAACTATTTGAGCCCAATACTAATAGCACAAAATGGGTAAAATGAAGAATGTTCTTCATAGTCTAAATACAGACAATAGATTTGGGTTCTACATCTGCAGATTCAATAAAAAATTGAATTGGGGGCTGGGAAGGTAGCTCAGTGGTAGAGTGCTTGCCTTGCATTCTTGAGGCCCTGGGTTCGATTCCCCAGCACCACATAAGCAAAAAGAAAAAAGCTGGAAGTGGCACTGTGGCTCAAGTGGTAGAGCGCTAACTTGAGCTGAAGAGCTGAGGGACAGCGCCCAGGCCGAGTTCAGGCCCCACGACCAGACCCCCCCTCCCCCAAAAAAAAATTGAATTAGACACTATGTTGAAAATGATCTATACAAACTGTGGGTGGGGACAAGAGGGAAAAACTGGGAGACAGGGAAGGGGTAAAACTGTCCATAAAGACTTGCACCCATTACTTATGAAACTGTACACATGACCTTTAAATAAAAATGAATTTGTAAACCATATAAAGATATTTCCTTTCATCACAATTCCCTAAACAATACAGAATAGCATTATCTGTATAACATTTATACTGTATTATTGTTTTAAGAACTTTATCTAGAGGATGTACGTAGCTTGCATATAAATATTACCATTCAGACACTACAGATTTTGGTGCCTGATGAGGTTGTAGAACCAAACCCTCTAAGATACTTTGGGAAAACTATTTGAATGTCTGTTAATATATTTGTGCGTGTGTACTTAAAGACTGAGATTCTATATAGAATAAGACTTTAAAGAAATTTTCATTATAAACCATTGAAGGCATTACTAAAAGTTAGGAGTGAACTTTCTTTTCTTTATTTGAAATATCTAAGAAGAACTTCAGTTTATGGTAAAGAATTGATTCTCTAACCCTTCATGTTGTCCCTTTCAGAGGAGAAACTCCTTGAGAGCTACATGAATATGCTTTGCTCAGCATATCTGCAAATTTGCAAAGAAGGTTTATATTAATGCTTTCTGACACATCTAAGGAGTTGCCAGTAGTAGTCTTGCACTCACTGTGTGTGGGCAGATCAATTCAGAGGTCATGTGTTAAGCAGCACACTGGAGTTTCACATCAAAGCCATTTCCTTCAAACCTTTTACTCGGTACAAAAGCTGAAATTTTCAGTTCACCTGGAAATCTTATTAAAATGCAGACTTTTTTTCATAATAAAAGCTGTTATTTTGATCTCAATTATTCAATTTCAAGTATTTACAAGTTGGCTCCAAAGAGCCCAAAAATTGCAATATATGAAACTTCTAAAATTCTAAAACTTAGAAAGTATCTTTAAAAATAAATCTCTTCAATGACACAAATGCTTCTTCAAGAAGTTATGAAATACATACATACAGTAAGATAGGATAGCTTATGAATTAATGATACATGTAAAATATTATCATCAGTAAAGTAGCTTCTTGCCTAAGGAACGTTTAACTAATATACTTTTTGTTTTTTTGAACCCATTTAGATGAGCTAAATGATACAGTTAAGTGAAAACACATATCAAGATGGACTGGGAATACATACAAACTTTGAAAAGAATAGGATCTGCTGCAAGAAATTGAGTCAGTCTGATTCGGAACACATATAAACATTAAAGCAGCATGCATTATGCAGCAAAATTTTATAAAGAAAATGTTTTTGTTAATTCAAGAGATTTATCCAATGTCCTTTAGAAAATGATACTTCTGGGCTGGGAAGGTGGCTCAGTGGTAGAGTGCTTGCCTTGCATGCATGAGGCCCTTGGTTCGATTCCTTAGTACCACATAAACAGAAAAAGCCAGAACTAGCGCTGTGGCTCAAGTGGTAGAACACTAGCCTTGAGCTGAAGAGCTGAGGGACAGTGCCCAGGCCCCACAGTTCAGGCTCCATGAACCAAAAAGAAAATGATACTTCTAAGTTCTTCCAAGAATTCTTAAAATTCAACATATATTAAGTATTAATTATATATTTAATCCATCATTGTTTTTAGAGTTCTCAAAAGTTAGTTTGATCAGAGGAACATGATGTATTCTTTTTCGACTTCAGGAAATGCTGTCAAAGAATAGAAGTTGGATTAGTTATTTAAAACCAAAATCTTATCCTGCAATTCTAAAATATTAATACATTCAAAATACTATTAGTCAAATTATTTAAACAGCAATAAAATTTTGTTGACACTATTATCAACAAATTTTATTTAAAAAATTGTTTTGTTATGACTTCTGAAACTAAATGTTATATAGAAACACAAGGAAGAAATCTATCTCATTGTTCTTACTATCATGTTAATAGCTATTTAACAATTTTAATGTCTATCAAACAATTATCACTAACCAAATGACATATTTATGATAAATCACTGAATTATTTGGATTTACTAGAGTCAGTACATAAAGCAAAGTTTTCGCCTCAAACCACATTGTCTTTGTAATAGAATAGGTTAGGATGGAAATAATCTCTGTATAGTTAGCAGCCATTTCTTTAAAGCAAGATCCCACAGTGAGGTGAAAATAGGTCCAACTGTGTCTAACATACATAACAAAAATCTTTTGAAGCCAATTTCTTTTCTTTGAAAACGACTAACTATGAAACTGAAACTAATCATGTAGAAGAGGAATAGGAAGTAAACAAATGAAAAGTAGGATGTCTTAATTCAAACATTATGAAAATATGAATGTGCTTTAACGACTAATCATAATACAGGACACTTACTCATAAATTTATCAAACAAAATGGGCTATAAGCTATACTCAAGACCCTGGTAATGCCAACGAACTCAAACACAACACTATAAAATGTTTCTTAATGCATATTAATAACCTCCAAATTCTTAAACCAATAGGGTCAAGTTTTATACATGTAATATATCCAGTAATATGATGTTCCAACAGTTAACTTTTAGAAATTTACTAATACAAGAAAGAAAAGTAATATGTCATCATGTAATTGTATCAAGGCTTTTTAGAACTTAGGCTGTTAAAAGATACACATATATACACATACATACACACACAGGAAGAGAAGGAAAGAAAGCATCTATTTTTGACAGCTAAACTTATAGTATATTACTAGTTAATATGCTTTTGTAGTAATTTTTTAAATTTCATATCAATTTAAGCATTTTTACTCACTTTACTCACCTTAAACCATATAACACACAACTAAGGAGATAACAGTTGCAACCAGGGCTGGCCTTTATATGCATAGATAGCAACTGTTTCTGTGGTGTGGCTTTCCCAAAATATCTCCCACTTGGGCCTCTCCCCAATGCCTAAAATTCTTTTGCAGTTGGTGTCAGTCAGAAGTACAAGTAAACCAATAACATTTGTTGTGAATATATTTTAGTATATATTATTATTTGAATATTTTGATCAATTTTGAAGAATGACATAACTAAAATATGATAGAACAAGAGAGGCAAGAATGCAGTTTAAAATGTACTCATTACCTCATTTATGTAAATGTAACCCCTCTGTACAGCATCTTTACAATAAAATGAAATTTAAAAAAAAGAATACATAGGCTGAAAAACACCCCCAAAAAACACAAATATAAAAGTCTGATAGAGAGTTAGAAGGATCCTTAGTTAGAATTTGATAGGATATATAGTGAGATCCTTGGGGGAAGGAAGACTACAATAGTTAGACCTAGAAAACAGGATGAAACGGTATAAAAGCTGAGTTAAAAGGAAAAGAACAGCAGAAAAGAAAAAAAAGAGACAGTGATGCTTAATGAGATCTTTGTAAGGAAGTAATGATGAATATTTCTTGTTTGCCATTAAGAATTTCTTCTGCAATAAGCCTGCTATATGTACTTAAGAACTATTTTTTAACTCCTTCCTCAATTTTTTTTTTTTTTTAAAGAAAGTCCTTTATTTATTTAATTTATTTTTGCACATTGTGGGGCCTGAACTCTGGGTCTGGGCGCTGTCCCTCACCTCTTCAGCTCAAGCTAGTGCTCTAACACCTGAGCCATAGCGCCACTTCCGGCTTTTTTCTTTTTGCATATGTGGTGCTGAGGAATCGAACCCAGGGCCTCAGGCATGCAAGGCAAGCGCTGTACCACTGAGCCACCTTCCCAGCCCCCTTCCTCAATTTTTTTAATGATCATTTTTAATATTTCAACCAGTGCACTATTATTTTGGAAAATCTAAATACTATAAAAATAAGCATTAAAATCTCTAAGTTCTTCACCATGGGGCGGGGAGCTGGAACTCTGGGCTTGGGTGCTATCCCTCAGCAATTCAGCTCAAGACTAGCACTCTATTGCTTGAGCCACAGTGCCACTTCCGGTTTTCTAGTGGTTTATTGGAGATAAGAGTCTCATGAACTTTCCTTGCCGGGGCTGGCTTTGAACCGTGATCCTCAGATCTTAGCCTCCTCAATAGCTAGGATTACAGGCGTGAGCCACTGGCGCCTGGCCCCATATAACCTTCTACTATGAGCATGTAAAGGAGGGATGACTTTCAGGTTTTATATGTATGTGAATTTATGTAATGTATAACAAAATTTAGTTATGTGTTATGTAAACTAAAATTGCTTTATTAACTGATTACATAAATTCATGGTATTGTGGGATGATACTTAAGTAAAGTCACAAACACATTTTAACCTTTATAAGGTGAATTGTCATTATCATGGACTATAAAGGTTATGAACTCTACAAACTTTGACAATACACTATTTCTTCCAAATCAGGTAATAAGTACATTTCTTTCCTTTTGCTTAGGGTAAGCTGTTCCCTCTTCCTCTCTCCTTTTTCATTCCCTCCCTCCCATTACTGCCCTTGAGTTGCTTAGTTTATGTTCATCAATGTCCAGTGCAGCTGGGCCCCTCTGTTGTATTTTGTCACTTGTTTCCTTCTGATTCTGTGTTCTCCTCCTAGCTTCCCTCAGATATGCACATATATATATATGTGTGTGTATATATATATATATGTATATATATATATATATATGTATATCTATACACACACACCATATGTGGGGTCAAGAATTTACAGTCATCTAAAAATGATGTGACAAATTAAGAAGAGGTCCTTTGAAAATTTTGGTTTTAAAGCCACATGATGAATACTTGTGTTCTCTTGGTTTCAATTATTGTTTTAATTTTAAACTTATTTCTAGGGAAAGAGGGAAAATCAGCTGAAATTCTTAGCATATACCAAGGCTTAAATACAATTCTATAGTTGCTTTAAATGCAAGAGTTTGAAAGCATGGCATGATTTCTTATTGAAAACACCTGAAAATTAAACAAATGTACTAAAACTGGAATGGGTTAAATGTTGGATCTCAGCTTAATCAATATTGCAAAAGGTACACTCACATCACAGTGCTCAAACTGTGTTGAGTGAAATATTATTTGGCTCTTAATACTGTACCTTCATGTGGAGTTTTCCTGTCCCATCCTTCAAAGATACGATAGAAGTATTTATTTGACAGAGATCTCCAGTGATGAAGACTTGAAAGGTATTTGTGTCCTCCAATGGCATTGAGAAAGGAGTAGTCATTAGTCCCTCTGACTGTAACTTTAGCAGTATAAGTGAAAAAAATACAGAACTGGTATCTACATTTTGTGGTGAGGAAGAAATAAGAGGCTAAGAGAACATGTGGGGATATCTTATCCATCCAGTATATGGCACAGATTGAACTGGAGATATAAGTTTAGGGATAAAGGTCCTTAAGGAAGAAGCAAGTTAGACATGAAGGATGAGGTTCCAGGTGGGAAAATGGATGGATAATAGATACTGGTTACAAACCTGCTTTGTTGTCTTAAAAACTTTGAATTACCTCCTATGAGGAACACAAGTCTAAAGTTGAAGAAGCAGGATTTAATTTTCATTCAGAACCTACTGTGTTCTACAAACAATAGTTCATTTCCTTCTTCACAACATCTGTGCTGTTATCCTTCATACAAAAGAGAGCACTGATAAATAGGATGGATTTAAAAAACTAGCCAGAGGGCTAGTGGTATAGATCAATGATAGAGTGTGTGCTTAGCAGGAGTAAGGCACTAGTTTCCATCCCAAGCAGAAAAGGAGGGCAGATAGTCTTAAACTAGTGCTAGCTGACCCTATCTACTAAAACCAAGATCGAAAGGTGTCTGTTTCTAAAAAATAACATGCCTACTTAACCAAACCAATTAGATAAATTTCAGAATTTAGTCTAATACTCTTAAATGTATTATACTTTTACAAAGCAATTTATTTCCGATTGTTTCAGAAAAAGTACATTGCATATGAAAAAATCTATGGGGTAACAAGACAGGTAAGAAAGACTGAGAAGATTTAAGCAAATTATTTTAAGAAAATGACACCAATGTTTAAAATTTCAATGCATTTTTACAACTCATGTAGAGTTTCACTCTGTTTCTTAGGTGAAAACAGTTTTGATTATTTTCCTCTCACCAGGCTTGGGATCAATTAACCGTTAGTGTAATCCATGCTTTCTTAGCAAAAATAACAAAATAAAGTATTTTTAATATCAGTGTAATTTTGCTAGAAAGTAAAACCTGAATGATTTAAAAGTTTGAGATGTTTTACTTTCAATAAATACGTTTTTAATGAGGTATGAAACATTTGACGTGTTTTCTATCAATGTAGAATCAATTATAAGGGTAACAGATTATGCTCCCTTTATATTTTTGAAAAAGAGAATCTGGTGCTTGCTTTGGTGGCACATATACTAAAATTGGAACAATACAGAGAAAAAGAGGGTCAGTCCATTTCTTCAAGTTTTATAAGATAGCACTTGCATAGAATTTTCTTATTTAAAAATTTTTTTTTTAAGCAGAGAAAAGACATGTAAAATAATATCCTCAAGCGACATATAATAATGAAAATATTGCCTACGTAAAGCCATACTATCCGTTTCTTACAAACCAGTGTGTCGGAGCATCAGTGGAAAGTGTGGATGCCTAAAATGAAATCTTAAGAGTTCTTAACCTTCATTATGAATAAGCAGATGAAAAACAAGAATGCCCCGAGTTAACTTAGAAATAATCACGTGTTGGCTCTTCCACAAACCCACTCCAAACTATTAGGTAACATGCTGAATACCTGTAATAACGGTTAGACAAACTTCCTCTACAACACACCTTGCCCGAATGTCTAGCAACTGAGGCACTAAAGGGTAACAAATTAAAAGTCCACAAGATGCAGTGCCCATTACACACACACACACACACACACACACACACACACACACACACACGTCAATCCAGTATAAATGTTCATTCCCAACGGAACTTTTTTTTTTAAGCAGAGTACATTTTTTTTTTTAAGCCTTAGTAAATCAAGCTCCATCTACCTCCGAGGTCATAGACCGATATGTAATCATTTTTCTCCAACATTTAATCGGGGATTTTGGAAGTGGAAAAAATCTTCAGGTAAGCGCTCGGTCTTGTCTCCCGCCTTCAGGTAGCTGAGATACAATTCCAAGGGCCACAGACCTTCCCTTTATGGAAAACCTGTATTTATGTTCGGGTTTAAAGGCCTACAGCATCCGCGGAGGGACGCTCTGGCTATTTAGTGTTACCATTGTTTTATTTTTAATTGACCGGGGGAGGGAAGGAGAGGAGAGAGCACGATACCATTTTTCCTCGCCACAGGAACCGAGGCCTGGGAGATCCCTGCCACCTTCACTGACCCTAAATTACGGAAAGCAGCCAAGGGTCGGGGCAGCTGGGTGAGGCGTCCTAGTGGGTTCTATGGAAACAAGAGACGCGGGCGGCCTGGAGCCTTAGGGACAGCGGGCCAGGACGCGGCCGCAGGACCGCGCCGGGGGGGGGGGGGGGGGGGGGGCGGAGCGAGGACCCGGGGAGGGCGGGCGAGGACGCCGGGGCACCGATCGCCCCGGGCTGCAAAGCTGCAGCCGTGACGGAGGGAACGGACACCTGCGGTGGACGGTGCCCGAGTCCGGGCCCGCCGCCCCCAGCTGGGGGCGGTGCAAACTTCGAAGGAACGTCCGGAGGGGTTGGAGGGGATTAGCGGGGTGAGAAACACCCCCAGAATAGGGTAGACTATGTCTTTCAAGCTGAGGCCCTTTACCTTCCCGGCGGCACCTGTCCGGGCTGCTTCCCCTCGGGCGGCGGCGGTGGAGGCGGCGACTAGGGGTGACGACTGCCGCGGCAGCGCTAGCTTCCTCACTAAAGCGGGCTCCGGGAAATAATTTCCCGCCGCGCGCTCTGGGCAGCTCCGGAAGTGATCGGATCATTTCCGGGTGGTTGTCAGTGACGCTCTCGCAGCCGTCGCCAAGGTGGTCAGAGCTGGGGTCGGAGCTTGGCTCTGGCCGGCGTGGAGGGCTTTCCGCTGCGTCCCCGTCGCAAGTGAGATCCTGGTAAGTGACTTTTTTCCTCCCTTTTTCTTTTGGTGGGTTGTCTCCTGGACTTAGTGTAGTTCGGACTAATTGCGGCATCTTGACCGAGACCGGGCGAGCGGGAAAGGACTGAACTAGAAGTCCCCCTCCGTCCCCGAGGCGCTCTTCCCTCCCTGGGGCTGGCGAGGGCCCCGGGATGCCGGTCCGCCGTCTTCTCCTCTGCAACCAGCAGCCTCAGCTGGCAATCCGCGCTTGGCTCTCCAGACTAAACAGTTGAGCCTAGTTCATTCTTCTCTCTACCAATGTACACGTGTCGTCCTTACTATCTTTTACTATAGTGACAGGATTTGATCACCCTCCGTTCTTAAAATTACTTCCCCCACTCCCCCCCCTCTCCCTCTCCTCCTTTCGCTACCCCTCTCCCTCTCTCCTCCTCCCTCTCCCTCTCCCTGACTCCCTACCCGCTTTTTTTTTTTTTTTTTTTTTTCTGGAGTAGTTGAAATAGTTTTGGACTTCCATGCCTAGGAGTCAGGCCTTCGGTTGAAGACTACACCTTTGAAAAACACTGGGCAAGTGGAGTATCTGAGGTCGTTCCCGAACTGGAATTACTGTAATTTCACCTTTCCCCGCAGTTTTGAGTGGAGAGAATGGTCACCCCTTCACCTGGCTTTTATGAACTAATGAGGTCGATAAGTAGCAGGCTTATAATTTCAAACATAGGCTTCAGGCGCATGTTTTATCTTCTGAAAAACCAGTGATCGGAATCAGGTATACTTTCACAAAGGAATTTTCTCGCTTTGCTTCAGGCTTTTCTAATAATGAAGGATTTAGGAGAATTTGGGCGGAGATCTGACATAGCCAGAATAGTTATAAAAGGAAATTGCTTCTGATGAATGATGTGAGGAAAAGTAATTATTTATTCAGAGATTTGAAACATAATGTAGTGAATTTGGCAACCTATCCTTGCTTGGGTAAAGCTGTTTCTCCAGGTAAGTAGTTTTCATTCATCACCTTATATTTCAGTATCAACTTTTTCTCTTATGAAAAGCAGCTGATTGATTTTTTTGTGAAACAGCCCTTTATACAAGCAGTTCTAAGGATTAATCTACCATAATAAAGAGGTGATATGTTAAAGCTTAGCCAAGTGCCTTTTAAGAGCAAAGAAAACATATTTAGGACATCTTTTTTTAATATAATTTCTCCATTGAAATATTCTGATGTTATCAAATCACATGGTATTCTTTTCCATTATTTCTTCAGTTGAAAAGATTGAAATTTATTTTAGAAAGATTATATGTTATTTCCATATAGTAACTAGTTTTGAGACAGCAGTTTTTCTTAAAACATTGCTCTTAATTTGTAATTTCCCCATTAAAATGAATAAGCCAACCCTTAATATATACCACAGTATCTACTGTACACTAGGCAATTTGCATTATTTTACTTAATGCTTACCTTAAAAAGAAAAATGTTTATCTGTTTATACTTTTATACTGTTTCGTCGACTCTGATTTCTCACACATTATACTTAAGTGACATAACTAATACTTGAATCTAGTAGTGTGTTCTGTACTACTTCTTACACCACAAAATCATTCTTTTTGCTCAATGACAAAATGGAATAAATAGAACATTACATTTAGAAGTCACTATGTAGTAAAACATGAGGAAAAGGGAATTAAGAAATATGTTCATTAGCATAGGTAATTTTCACATGTCAATTATAAAATGTCTTTTCTGTATTGACCATTTTAATAATCATAACTCCTGAGCATAACAATACCAGCAACTACAGAAAAAAGATACAATATAAAAAGATACAATTGTCCATATACAGCTAACTTAAAATACTGATGTCTATTTGTGTACTTTGTATTGACTTAACTACAGGAAACATATTTGTTTCTGCATATCACATGGAAAGATCTCAGGGGTATTTTGCTTTGTATCAAATTTCATTGCTTATAGTACTGTTTAAGGAGATAGTATAAATTTTAGGAGGTGGAGTCTAGCTTGAAAAAGTGAGTTACTGGAGTTGTGTCTTTGAAGATTATATGTGGTCTTCCCTCCACCTCTGCCTATCCTATACTCTGCATCAAGTTAAGAATCTCCTCCACAATATGCTCCTGTTACCAAAGTGCTCTGTCCAAGGTCATGGTATCAAGTACCCAGGGACTGAATTCTGAAATGCAAGCCAAAATAAATCCTTTCTCCTTTAAGATGTTCTCAGGTGCTAATACACCCAGCATCTAGCACTGTGGCTGATAGAAGCTTAAGAAACAACATCTATTGGATAAATGATTATTTTCAAAAATACTGTTTACCCATCAAGAAGTATTTGTACGTGTGTTTAAAAAGACTTACCATATAAATAAATGAGTGTTTGCTTATTGTTACTTACCTTGGCCTTGCAATCACTTGTTGGTAAAAAGAAGCAAGTATTCTATAAAGAGTGGACTGACAGGAAGTGGTGCTGTGGCTCAAGTGGTAGAACACTTGCCTTGAGTTGAAATGCTCAGGGACAGCGCCCAGGCCCAGAGTTCAAGCCCCACCACCAAAACACAAAACAAACAAACAAAAAAGAGTGGACTAACAGCAGTATAATTGTGAATCCTCACTCTATGCATATTGTCATAGTTGACATATAATCATTACTGGCTTATCACACTTATGACTTGAACCAGTTTGAATCTGACTCTAAGGACTAATTTATTGTGGTGGTGATACTGGGGTTTCAACTCAGTGCCTTCCACTTGTTAGCCAGACATTCTACCACTTGAACCAAATTCCCAGTCCTTTTTTGCTTTAGTTATTTTTCACATAGGCTGGTATTTTTCATATCAGGCTTATTGTCTAGGTCCATTGTCAGACCACAATGCTGCTCCTACGTATGTCTCTTACATAGCTAGGATTACAGGTGCATACCATCATGCCTAGTTTATTGCTTAAGACGGTCTGGGGTTTCTCACTATTTGCCCAAGCTGATTTCTAACTGTAGTACTCTTGATCTCTGCCTCCCATATCGCTAAAGTGTACAGGCACTGACATACCACCATGTTTGGCCTCAAAAGGCCATAATCTTAACCAAATTTCTATACTTCTTACAATTCAACTACTATGTTTGAAGGGAAATTTATCTAAGGATCTAAGTCACAGAGTCTTTGGAAGCTTGTGTCATATGTAAAATGGATCCATAGAACTACTATAAAAGTGCATTTATATGGATAAATGCTTTATATGCTTATGATAGATAAGAAAATGCTTTATAAATTAAAGAAGAGCCTAATAGGAGAGATAAAGTTATTATACAAATAGTTATTACCTAAGGGTCAAGTAACAAACATCATTAAACAGAAAACATAATGGAATGCAGAGAACAGATATTGTGATTCCAGGAGGGTAGATGAGAAAAAATTTGATGAAGAAGGTATTAGTTAACATGGATCCAAAAGGATCCTGAGGATTTGAGCAATGGGACAAAGGAAAGAATGTTCCCTTTGGAGATATAGGTGACAGGAAAGAGAATAGTGACTTAAGTCACTCTGGATATGTAGGATCTTGAAGACTAATAATAAATCAAGATCAAAAGCTGAGTTCATGACAAATTGTAGGTAAGAGATGGTAGGCTAGCCGGGAGCCTAGAAGACTGAGATCTGAGGATTGCAGTTCAAAGCCAGCCTGGGCAGGAAAGACCACGAGACCTTTATCTCCAATAAACTACCAGAAAACCGGAAGTGGCACTGTAGCTCAAGTGGTAGAGCACTAGCCTTGAGCTGAAGAGCTGAGGGACAGCACCCAGGCCCAGAGTTCAAGCCTCAATTGACAAAAAAAAATTAAATAAAAACATTATAGGCTAGGGTTGGGAATGTGGCTTAGTGGTAGAGTACTTGCATAAAGCCCTGGGTTCAATTCCTCAGTACTACAAAAACAGAAAAAGTGGCGCTGTGACTGAAGTGGTAAGAGTGCTAGCCTTGAGCAAAAGAAGCTCAATGACAGTGCCCAGCCCCTAAATTCAAGCCCCAGGACTAGCAAACACCACCACCACCACCAACTTTAAAAGATGGTAGGCTAGCTGGGAAACCTGTGGCTACATGTTAGCCTTTTCACAATAAACAGTGATTTATAAGGATTGGATGGAGGATGGAATTGGCATTTGTCTTTTTGTTGTAGTAAAATACCATTTGTTACAGAAATACTAGAGTTTAAGAATATACAATAAAGAAAAATATTAAAAATTGTCCAGAATCCCACTAAGAAATTTCTATTTTTTCTTTGCATTCTTAGATTTGTATATTTTTAATAAAAATGATTTAATACTCTACATTTTATTTTGTGATCTGCTTTTTTTTATTTGATATACCATGAATTTTTCTGTATCAATAAATTTGTTTCTATAAAACGACCTTTTGGGTCCTGTATACTATTCAGTTTTATGAATGTTTTATCACTTTTATACAGACATCCTATTTTAAATAATAGTATAATTATGTAATAAAATATTTTAAAACATTTAGTTACAAATTATGAGAGAAATGAGAGTGGGTCATGTACACATGTTATGCTTCTCAAGTATATTTTATATTGTTATTTTTACTGAGTATATTTAAACCTGATGCCAAATTCAGAAAATATGAAGGGGCATATAATGAGATATCAGCCTCCCAGTCTCCCCTCTTTGTCCTCTTGAATTCCAGCTTGTCCAAATAGCACCTTGTTTGAACTGGAGAAGAGAATTCCCTTCTGGAGATTTCTTGTGGACATGTTACAGAACAGATGACACTTTTCTAAGGACTAAGAGAAAGCTTCTTTGCACTCTTAGGTGACAGTTATGTGACCAAATTCTGAACTACATTTCAGACTCTATTCACACTGATATTTGGGGGGCACTTTAATGAAGAAGAAGTTTGCTTATCCCATGATATAGCCTGGTGATTGTTTCCTTTTCCAAAGATAACCACATGTGACCAGTTTCATTTGAACTCTTCAGAGGATGAAGAACTGGCTTTGCATGAGGTGTATAG